ATAAATGAAACTTAGATTGAGTAATAAATATTAGGTAACGATATGTTTCCAATAGAATTGTACTGTCGAATCCAGCATCGATTACGCAAGCTGAAAACGTTACGTTACGTTTCCTCCTGCATGCAGTTGCATAATGTTCGTATGCGCTGTCGTGATTAGTGATTGATATCGTTTGCTACGATGTTTTCATATGTTTTCAATGATCCGTGTATTTCTGCGATTCCTCGTATAACGGAGAATCTTATCTTCTTCACGCATATGTAAGATGTACAGAGGGACACTTAATAAAAATTAGTACTACATGTACGTTTGAACTCGTATTTTGCTGGCTGAAAACGCTGCGCTTGCTAAAAATTTGAAGATAAGCTTTCCCGTATTACTTAATAATGCAAATAACTAGCTTTTCGTCCGATTTGCGGCACACTGCGCTCACTATAAAATAAGTTATTCCCGATATAGAAACAAAAACAAAAATGTTATGTTATTTTTAACGTCACATTCGTTGCGCGTGCCGCTGCAAATCTTTTAATTATCCTCTATCAGAATTTTTTTCAAGAGTGAAAGAAAGAAATTAGTTACATAAACACGTCAGAAGAAAATTTCCTGCAAGTAATTCTGTAAAGATATTGATTTCACACCGAATCACGAGATGTCAATGAGAATCCAACCGCAACAGCGTACCGCAAAATCGTTGTTCTTTATTCTTCAAGGAAAACCGGCGCATATCGGTATTACAGCTCACTATCTAGCCCGTTTAAGGAAAAATCTGTGTTCGCTTCAGGGGAAAAAACCGTGTGTTTTAGGCGTGCGAGAGAAAAAACGCATTTTCGCGCGATGAGAAAGCTTCCTTTTCTCATCGTACGCGAGAGAGATGTATTTTATCACAGAAGTACGTTGCATACGATCAGAGGAAGAGAACAATGGGTAAAAACGCTAATTTTAATCCTAAATGGACAAACGGGGAATCACCTCTGGTTTATTTACCAAAGAGACTTCCGCCGGAAAAAAAGTCCGCGCAATAATTTCGGTACACTTCGCGTGTAACAATCATAAATCATAAGACATAATGGACAAAAAAAAACGGAGGACAGTAAAGATGAAAAAGAGAAAAAAAAAAGAGAGAAATTAATTCATTAGATTCGACTGGTTAATAGAATCATTATCGTCGTTGCGTGCCACGAGTTTTTATAGGTTCGAATGTCGTGACCAATTTACGGTAATCGATGGCAGAGGGTCGGTCGCGGACGAAAAATTGAAGTTTGCGCAACCGCCGTTGATCGTTAATGATCTCGTCAGGGTCGAAGCGGAGACACGTAGGTATCCTAATGCGGAGATGCACGCACGCAATATGAGCGCAGTTCCGTCGCACTCCCGTGCCATCAGAACAAACGCCGCATGAAAAATAATACGTCGCTGCGCTAAAATCGCGCCCCGATCAAGTGATTTGCGTGTTCGACGTCGGGAATATCCTTTCATCCCCTATAATTTTTATTCTTCAGTTTTCAGAGCGCAAAAAGCCGTTCTAGAGCCTTTTGATTATTATAGATATTTCGCAGATCTCGCGGCTCTAATTAAATAAAAAATAAGAGAAAGAAACAATTGTGTCAAAGCAATGTCAAATCGCGAACCGCGACGTGATCGCGTATGCAATACTGTCCGTGTCTTCCGCATCTCGTCCCAGCTGCGGATGAAGTCTGAAACCTGTCGTTTAAATGCCACGTATATCTATCCGCGCGAAGACAGATGAAAAGGAAGACAGACAGAGATAAGTATAACGAAACGTTTCCGTTACGTATATCACGAACTTCGGGGGAATAAAATAGGAATTGTCGCACCAGTACATTGGGGGTCACCGAAGCGACCTAGAAGTACGGAATTACGATACGGAGAAGCACGGAATTGCGGAAATATTTAAGTTGCGACGAGGTTGCCGGCGAGGTGTATAGTAGATCAGCGTCAGAGTTATTTAGGGGTGGGCCTTCAATTAGGGGCGACCCATCCCGTGTGTCACGCAAACCCCCTGGCCTGTCTCTCTATTTTGATATATGGATACTTCTCTAAGGTCACATATATATCGAATTAAGCGTTAATGGGCGCGCTGTACACGCCGCGCGTTAACTATATATCGCCCCACAGAGTCGATCGGAGGAAATCCGCCATTCAGGGGCCCCTCAGCTGGGAACACCGCGCGAAATTTGCTCCAAATTATTATGTAATCGCGCGTATCAACACACACTCGAGCGACCTGGGGACGCGATTGACATAATATGCGGCGGTACGCGTCGTGTTCGCAGTAATGATTAGTGTTATCAATCATCGCGTTCAGCGTTTAAGGGATTTGCGTCCCCTATTTAAGGGATTCGCTATTTTCGAAATTTGGAAGCGAAAGTGATTTTCTGTGTAACGAAAATCAATATAAGCTCGATTAAGTGTGTTACTTAAAAAAAATTTGCTGTAAATACACACAGATCAATAATCATTTCAAAGTTACGAAACTGCATAATTCGAAAGATTTTAATAATAAAATAATCAATAGTAACTATAATGTAATAGACATATAATTCCCAAAGCGTAATTAATCAAAATTTTTCCTCTTTTTAGTTTAAGTCAAGATTTATAAGTCATTTATAATAATCATGTCCCTATATTTTTGTCACAAAACGATTTTTGGTGAGAAATTTTCCGTATGCATAAAATGTGCCAGTTATATATCGAATAATAATAATGCAATTAATATAAAAGTATAGTAAACTTAAATAAGATCTTATGCAGAATAGTAAAAAAGCATACTGCATTTTCTGCTTCGGTAAAAAAAAGAAAGAACGCGAACGTTAGCGCGATCATGCTTAATACAGCGTTATTATATGCGTAAGTGCGTATATACGCGCTAGAGAATCACTCGAGTAATCAGCGTATCGCACATTACTGTCGATCGAGGTAGCGTGACCACTTTAACCCTTTCGCGCTTAATGAGTCATTTTGTAAGGCTACCGCGCGCGTACCATTTTCATGAAACATTCAGGTTTTAAAAAAATAAATAAAGAAAAAAGTAAACAAAATTGCTGAAATATTGGAAGGTAAAAAATAATTATAACAAAATGCAGTATTTACAAAAATTGTTGCACGAACTTCTTTAAAATAGTTTAAAATGCAGCAAATTTTAAAAATACATTAAAAATGCATTTACTAATAATGACAATTTCCAAGTGAGTTTTGTAAAGTAAACACGAGCATAACCCTCAAGCGCGTAGCATGATTGAATTATATCGAGTGATTTTCTGTGTACTACATATATTATAAATTATATATGCATATCGGATTTACTCACCTCTAAACGGTGCATCATCGCGTATATCCTCCTCGGTCCTATTGTTGCCATTCTAATCCCGTCACTTTGTCGATTTTGACGTTCACACGTTTAAAAAAAACAAATCGCGAAAAATGTGGTTTTGTGTAATTACCGTTTTAATTACCGCGTGCAGCAATTAACACGCCATTAACAACTACGCGACATTTCATTCGGCACTCCTGACGCACTTTACTGGAACGTTTGTTAAAATTTTTACAGGCGAGAAATGCGGAAAGCTGCAAGGGGTGATAAAAACATTTATGTCTTTCGAGACAGAGCAACATACACATACCGGCGCGGCGCGTGCAAACATGGAGGTTATCGCACAGCATTGCCAACATACGATCGAAATATTTTTTTGTGAAAAAAGCCCATGTGTATAAATTTCGGTCCCATTCGACCTCGTGGAAATGACGAAATCTTTATATACAATATTGCCAAATATCAAACATCTATAATAATTGTAATTATGCCATTAATTATGATTAACGAGATATAGTTACTAAAAAAGATTCATACAGAAAGCTTTTTAGTATTCAAATGAACGACATTTAAATTAATAATGAAGTTTGCGTGCAATATTTATTTTAACGAAACTCGGTTTTGATCAGTTTTGACGTTCAAATTGTAAGCGATAAGAACGATGACGTTTATCGCGAATATTAACATACCACGACAATCGCCCGGTTTTTCGTTCTTGATGAACGGGAACATTTACTTCCTTACTTTAAATGGATAATAAACGAGCGATTAAGTTTGGCGTACCGAGGCAGGCAGACATATGACGGCCGCTACACGCGTTACCAATACATGCACTTGTCACTCAGCATTACCAACATTCATTTGTACGATCGAATAATTTTTCAAAAAACGTAATTTCAGACCGGTTCGAACTGGGCATGGAAATAACGAAATACGATCTTAATTAATATCTACATATTGCTGAATATCGATAAATAATTATTTCATTATTATGAACGTCAAAATAATTAATATAAATAATTCAAAAATTATAATACAAAATCTTCAATATTCAAATGAACATTTAAATTAACGACGATTCTTGCGAACATTTTAATATAAAATGCCGATTTAACGCAATGTGTTTATTTAAATCGCGAGTGACGGAGATATTTCGTTACAAATAATACATGTTTACGAACTACTGTGACGATCGCGCAATATTTCATTTGACATTTCTAATGTATGTCTACCTTGACTTTTCCTTTTTCAGAGTTAAAAAATGCGGAATAAAATGTGAGCGATTAAGTAACACGTATCATTAAAAGTAAACATGTCAGCCACAATTAAAACTCTCTCTATGAGTTGAGAGACAAACTACTGAAAGATGTATTGGATAATACTGCGATAGGTTGTACTAATAAGCTTTATTATTATTATCAATTATGTTCATTTCTCAAAAATAAAAACTTTTTAAGGAATATACACTGAATTGTTAAAAATTCCGTATCTTGACATAGTTATTAAATTTTGTAATGTTTTATAATAAAAAAATAAAATGTTTTTTTTTATTTAAAGCAATGGCAGTAAAAATTGCTATAAAAGAATTAGGCACAAACTGACTTTTCAAATTTTACGTTACTAGATTTGTATACTTCTACCATTAAAAAGAAGCAAAATCCACGAATACTTACAGTGATTAACTGTTTAAATATCATTTTATTTGAGATGACCGTCTTTTTTCATCATTCAAATCACAATTCATATACCTACAATAAAATTAAAAGACGTGTAATTAGACAGTGATTAATGATTAATGATAGTAATTATAATTACTCGCACGTCAGTGACGTTATTATGCTTGAATCGTTAAATGACATTTCAATTAACATCAACGGTAACATATTTGTTTCCTACAAGAAAACACGAATGATTTGATTAAGCCTAGTCGTGAGTCATCAATAGTAGTCGCGCATGTTTGTCGATCTTGCGATAAACATCGCGACTGATTTTAATTCGAATCTTTAATTCTGCTGCATTTCCATTTAAACTCCTCGGTTCCACTTTAACGCTAAAAGAGCCAGAATAACTTTAAAATTTCGCTAACAAAACGTCAAAAGACCGCTCTTTCGTTACATTCAATCGTACTTTGTTTTCGCACAGAATTTTTGCATTTTATGATCCCTTGTCCAACAGACGTAAAAAAATAGAAGTAAACAAATTAAAGGAAACTTTTGTATCGTATAAATTGCAATTCTATCTAAATAAGTCGCTATGGTATACATATATATGTATAGCATATATAAATACGGTCGGTCCTTTCAGAATTAATATCCCATAATCCAATCTATTTGGAAATATTTCAGCAGTTTTAATTGAACACACAAAATCTTATCATAAATTCTACGTCCCGTAAGTAAGATGCAAATATATTCTTTATATACAATTCGGTTAAACAATACCATGGTCCGTTTTAAAAATAGTAGTGGAAAAATTAATGATAAAACAAGTCATTGGAATAAATCTAGCTACTACTAGCGCGTTAAATTACAAGCAAATCTCAAAAGTTACAATCAAAGTCTTGCTGGAGTGAGAGTTTAACACATATACGTCATTCCTCTGCTACATGTACGTTTAATGTTCACTCAAGTACAAATCATCTTGTGAGATCTTAATGGTAATGTATTCACACGTAATATATATTAATTCGTACTTCATGCAAGACAGTTGAACATGATTTTCGATTCATATTTTGTGCTAGTCTCGCATATTTTACGTTACGGACGTAAAATACGCTCAATCGTAATACATTATAAGTTACATGTAACAGGGTTACATATGAATTGGCAATCTTCAAAATTAACTATTTCTCCAAAAGATCTCTACGTCTTTCAGAATGTGGAAACATATGTGCAGCTGAAACAGTTGAAAATATCTCTTTTAATTTAATTTAACTTACTATCCTCGTGTCGTGTAATTGATTTATTTGAAGTAGGCGGGCACTTGATCCCGCAATACTACGCAAACGACGACAAACTCATATTAATGTTGGACTGGAAGTGTTTTTCGGAAATTATGATTTACAATTCTTTCAATTCGCGATACTTTCAACCACTCTCGTGATTTTTCTTCCCCCAACATTATATAAAATACGTGCGTATCTACGATTCCCTAAGCGAGGCAAAGCAATAAAAATGCTTATTGAAATGTTGAAGTACGTATCATATTATAAATGCGTAAAGAATTGTGATACAAAAAAGTGAGACAAAAAGCAACTAATAAACTTATCACGTTTCACAGTTCGCACAATCTATTTTAAATATAAATACAACAAATATTTTAATATAATATTGGTACTGTTTTGTCCATTGCATTTAAAAAGTTTGCACAAAAACGAAATTTACTTTTAGCCAAATCACAATTTTTCTCCAGTCATGAAATAAAATATTTTATAGATCAGTTCTATTGTAGTCAAATCAATCTTTATCATTTGCTTGAATACAAGTTAATGTAAAAGACTATAAAACTCTATTATTAGGTAAAAAATTTTGCTAATCAATATGCAATATTGAGAACATGTCAATGTTACAATATAATGATTCGATCAGTAAAAACATATTGTACATTGGCATTTTTCAAATATTTCGCATAATTTCGCCCCAATTACAACGACAAACAGAATTGTTGAGCAGTAGTATCTTATCATGTAGCCGGTATTTTAATTTCCATCAAGTCGAGGAAGACATTTAACGTATTATACAATTGCTACGTGCTGCAATAAGATTGAACGATATTCGTTCAAGGAACATTCACTAAAATATTATGTTTTCTAATATCGAAGGTGATGTTCAGCGCTCTCATATGATATAATATAAGATGCAATTCTGTTTTTAAAATGATAAAAGTGATGCCTAAAAATTTTCTCGATTGCATCATTAATTTAATGTTATTGCATTTCTTATTGCAAAGCGGAATTATTCAGACTATAGGAAAAAAACACTAAAGATAAAAATACGTCTAAAGAAATGTCTTTTGACATGGTGAATTCAAATAAATATAAGTTCTAACCTAAATAAGAACCGCAACAGCCAGTATATAGAATGTTGGGAGAACGCCATTGGCATAAATTTATAAACGGTAAGATTAAAAGACAGTGAGAGAGAGAGAGAGAGAGAGAGACAGAAAGAGATGGTACGAGAGAAAAAAAATTTCTCGCAAAGTATCGGCAATTCGTTTCAGGCTGAACTGGCTTATGCAGTCCGTTGGATGATGTGAATTCCGCTATCTGTATGCACAGGTGATGACAGCTCGCCCACCTTCAGCGCGAACGCCGCCTGCTCGAAGGGCTTCTGCATCGCGCCCCGATTGAAAGGTCCGAGGTCACCGCCGCGCTTTGCCGAACTGCAATCGCTGTACTTGGAGGCGAGTTCAGCGAACGTCGCTTTACCAGACTCGATTTGTTCTCTATAAGCTGTTAACAAGATATCTTTTATTGTAATCACAGTTACAATGGAAGATGTTGGGTAGCTCAATGTTAGAGCAGTTGCCTGTCGAACACAGGTATACACTGTAGCTCATAATTATTCAAGTGAAATACATTTTATATTTTATTTTAATTTTAAAAGTTAAGTAAGTGTGAATTTAGAATGCGCACAATTATAATCGATGTATAATAAAAACAGCATCGATTATTCTAATAAATAATAAAAAAATAAATATTATTCTAATAAATTATTATCTGTATTAACGACAGTGTTAATAACAAAAACACTTACTTGGTTTTTAAAGTCAAAGTAAAGAATAAAATATCTGTCATATTCAAATTATGAGTGGTACTGTAATTTCTATATTTACCACTCTATATTGACACTAAAAATTTTGAGTGAAAAAAATACTCCACTTTAATAGGAACAAAGTCTATGAATTTAATATAGCTAGGAATAAATGAATCGCAATGGCATGGTTCTTTGAAAGAAACATTTAAATAGTAACAATAAATAAGTTTAGAAACAAATCCAATCTCGCACAGTGAAACTTGAGCAAGAAGCTCACAACCTCTTTCTCTATAAAAATTGGATCCAGTTTAAAAGTATTGTCTAGGACTGTGATGCGAACATAAGCAACAGTAAATAAAAATATTCTACTTGCAATAATAAATAATTGCAATGTAACAAAAGATCACAAAGCTGTGGGCTTACATTTAACCAACTCAAGAGCGTCTTCTTTTGACCTAGTAATTTTCTCCTCTCGCCAGGAAGAAGGTCGTCGTGATCCCGAATGCTTCACAAGTAGATGAGAGCATTGCACTTCCTCAGGTCCGTCCGCCTTGCCTGATGGATCCGCAGGTTTATCTGGCCTATCCCACTGACTTTCCTTGGTATAAATATTTAAATAATAGTGCTGACCTATAACAATTTCACCCGTCTGAGAGAGAGAAAGAGAGAGAGAGAAACCTAAATACTAATATTACTAAACCTAAGCACTTTTATCAACTTTGTGCTCTGCGTTCATATAAGAGAAACAGTCGAATATTATAACTCGATGAATATTATTATACATGTTCAAGAACAATGTTGAGAATAAAATTGCATATACTTACAATTTGGAAACAGACTTGGATTAGAAATAGAAATAGATTAGACCGAATTAGGATCTATCCTCTCTTGTTATAAATTGATGCGCGAATAAATAAAAATTATGAAAAGTTTACGTGATCAATGAGTTAATCAGCTCAACATCCCGGATGTTCTACAAGCTCGCTGATAAATTAAAGTCAACGAATCGATAGGCGGTGTCGGTAAAAAATCAATTGATGAATGAATGCGGAATATTTTCCGGCCGTTTCTCCGATAAAATCTCCGGGATGCGAGCGAGGCAGCATCCGTATACCCGGCTCGCCCCACTCGATCTTTCGTCCTTTAAAAAACTCCCGATTTCGAAGTATACGATCGGAGCTGTCAAAAAGAGGCTCCGGACGCGTATCTGCCTCGAACAGCTGCGAAGTGATCGGTATCGGCGAAACATCGAAAAATGCCATACGTTACGGGGGGGAGGGAGAGCGGGGGGGCCCGTTAGTCTCGCGCCGGTGAGAGAGCGAGACGCGGCCGCGGCAGCGGGCCGCAGGGCGAGACTCTCGCGGAGAGACGAGGGTCGCCGCCGTTCGCGCGGGATCGCGAAAAATCACGTCACGGCCCGGCGCCGACGTACCGGTCGATCTGCTGAGACGTTTCTCCCATCCCGCTGGTAGCTCCTCGTCCGCCATTGCCGTCGCGTAGTATGTATATTTTCGGACTGTGTTTTGCCGCTCCTCTGCCCCGGCACGTCGGTCACGTCAAACGCCGCACGCCGCCATCGCGCTGAACGTCGCGCCGGAACACCACGCCGGCGCGGCCTGCCAACCGCCGCCTTCGCGCGCGCGGCGACTAGGGAATCGCCTAGGGACTTTTCCACGACGGCGGAATGATGGAGTCGAGATAACAACCTGACGCACCTGACGCGGATAAACGGAGCGAACGTCACTTCGGTGCCCCGCGATCGGTCCGTCGGACGTGTGACATGAGAGGTTATTTGGATGATTTAGATTCTACGTGACACACAAAATTTCGCTGATTTCGCGTACATGGAATATTTATGCATTCTGCAGACCCACGGGAAATTTCGATAGCATGACGGTCAGGACGCTTTTACGTTTGGGCGACGCGGCGAACAGATGGTGCGACGGATTTTCAATCTCTGTCTATAAGATACAGTCACTTTTTTTTAATTCCTTATTTTATTTCGCGTCTTTTTTTTGTTCCTTAAAAATAAGCATTTCTAAAAATTCCTTAAACTAATCTGTGCTAGAAAATTCTTCGACGAAACTTTTTTACAAGATGGATCTAAAAATTAGAGGAAGAATCAAAAGATTACATCAGAAAGAAGCAGCATTATTTTTGACATAAAATTATCTCATTTCTTATGACATATTTGATGATTCTCTACATCTCTTGGAAGCATATACTTCAGAAGATAAATTTAGAATAACAACTTTATGTTATCTTATTGAATTTATAATAAATTATTTAAATTATTATTAAAAAATTATTATTTTAAAATACTGTCTTCTATTGCAGTAGAAAATGTTGAACATTTTTTTCCTCTATTGACGAGCCATTTATCATTCATTAATGATATTATTTTGTTATATTTAAAATGATGAAATCGAAGATGTAGCTTTACTAAAATGATGGATATTTCTGTCATATAATATATAAAGATTATAAATTAATAAAATATCAGATCAGATTATATGACATAGCTTCATTTATATGAATTTATACAAATTGTGTTTCCACTTTCTTTTGTATTCAAAATTATCTTCTAAAGTAGAAATATTCTATTAAATTTCTTATACACTTGCTGTAATTGAAATATGTGCTATAATTCAAATCTATTTATGAAATTTCAGTGTCTTTATAACTACACAATACTGCAGGCCCAAAATGCAAGTATTACAGTATAGACAGATAAGAAGTTTAAAGAAACCACAAATCTCCTTCAAACCAGAATCACCTTTTCCTCACATAGAAACTGGAACTGTATCGCCTGCGAGACTGTGGAAACATTTTGGTTTCACCATTATGGTAAATAAATAAGATAAGACTAAGTAAATTAGCAGATAGTGATTTTCAAATATTTAACAGAACATAAAGTATCACTTGTGTATCAAGAAAAAACAAATTAAACAATTAGAAACAAAAAACAAAAAAGGAAATTACTAATTGCTCTTTAAAATAATAGTCAATAATATAAAAAACAGGCTTCAATGTGATGCTTATAAATATTTTATAGATTTCTATGTCTAATTTTTAAATATTTTTAAGTGAATGACATACAAATATCTTACATTTTTGTTTATTACATTTTAGTTTAGCGGAGCCTCCATAGTGGGTGCTGCAATTTGGGAGTATGAACGTATCAGAAGCCAGACATATAGAACAATTCATCGCTACAGGCAGTTTCGAGTTAACGTATGTATTATTTGGTGAAACATTCAAATGGACATTTTAATATATATATACAATAATGCATGGGGTTAGCGAACAGGATGGAGGAGAGAAGTGGAGACGTGGTGGCAGAACTTGACCGAAGGACAGAAGATGTTTGTGCCTATATGTTTTATAAATGCGGTTGTATTCTTAGCTTGGCGAGTGCCGGCACTGCAAAAGACAATGGTGCGCTATTTCTGCGCCAATCCGGCTTCCAGTAAGTGACACCGTGATCCTCTTGAGTAACTGATGCAAATGCTTTGCGGCAGTTATTTTGCTTCTGAATTATCGTACACGTTGATTAGAATAATTCTTATGTAAGGTGTGTCATGCTGGTCGATGGTACTTTCCACGTTTTCACATTACTCCATGTTCCATCTGGCTGCGAACATGTACGTGTTGCACAGCTTCAGCACAATAGCTGTGGCGACGTTGGGGAAGGAGCAATTTTTGGCGCTGTACTTGTCGAGTGGAGTGGTCTCCAGCTTCGCCAGTCATCTGTACAAAACTGTATTTCGAGTGCCAGGCCTTTCTCTAGGAGCGGTAACTAACTTTACTTTCAACAGTTAGAGTAACAAGTACTTCATATCTCATATATTTCAAAAATTCTCTGAATGTACATGATAGTTTCATGTTTTTTTTTATATCTATATATTTTTTCTATTATATCTACTACTGTATAAACTTCGACTGTCAACAAAAATTGTTTTTATTTTAGTCGGGAGCGATTATGGGTATCCTCGGATTTGTTTGCACGCAATATCCTGATATACGGCTCAGTATCATTTTCCTTCCTATGGTCACGTTTACAGCGGGTATGGTAGGTGTCCCGAATTTTAATAATAAATGTAAACATAAAAATAATATTGTATAGTTTTTTGTGATACAATCGTAATTACATTTTTTAGGCAATCAAAGGTATAATGGCTTTGGATGTTATCGGTTGCATCGCAGGATGGAAATATTTTGATCATGCTGCGCATTTGGGTGGCGCGTTATTCGGAATGTGAGTTCTATTGCACATATATAATTCTTGCGAAATATGCAATTTGCGCAATTGCACTTTAATAAATTTCAAAAATGAAAAATGTTACCGTGTAAATATTCAATATTTTTAAAAATAAATTTAAGCAAGGCTGGATAATTTTTTCCAGAAAAATTATTTCACTATTCGTTAAGAGATAGTGACACAAATTATAAATTAACAGATTAGCAAATGGTAATATAAATTGCATAATTTTTTTTTAAATTATAGATTCTGGCAAGCGTGGGGAAATGCTAATATTTGGCAAAAACGAGAGCCTCTTCTAACTCTCTGGCATGAATTCCGAGAACCTCGAAGACCACAGTGATACTTAATTTTTTTTTAATCTAAATTTCAATTTATCATTGTTTACGATATACATATTCTGTATACAAATTGTAAAGTTTCACACCCGTGTAAGAACGATTTCTAAAAAACATAAAAATTCAGATACACATGTTTATTTCTATTAATTATACTCCATTTTTACGTGTGATAAAATATACATTTATTGTGCGAGTTCCTTGAAAAAACAATAAGAAAGATATAGATGTTGTATTAATATCTATGCAAAATTTTCAAGATTGCGAATGTTTTTAGTATTTTCTAAATTTATTTCCATATAATTCTTCATAAAAAATAAATCTTGTAAAAATGTAAATTGATATCAAAGTTTTTAATGTTTTTAACAATGAAACAATAATCTTGGAAATTGACTTAACTCTTAAGATATTTCATATGATGCTTGAAGTGATCTTCAATAAATGTAGCTATAAAGAAGTAACTGTGATCATAATCATCCTGAAATCTGAGAGTAAGCGCGATGCTATCCTTATCCTTCGCAGCATTCAGTAGATTCTCTGGTAACAATTGATGCTCCTTTAGGAACTTATCCTCCTTACCCTATAAACGTTGGAATTTTCCGTTATAGAATTGCGAGTCGTTTAAATTAAAAGGATTAAAGAAGTCAAATGGAGTAAATTAAATATGAATATATATTAGAGATGCGATTAAAAATCATTAGAACCTGATCGATTAAAATGTCCAAAGGTGGGCCATTATATATCTTTGCCAATTCTGTAGCGTCCCATTCCTTCCACGCGGGATTATCCTCCGAGCCGCCCAGGTATCCTGAGAAGGCTTTCTTCCCCCATGGACACGAGATTGGATTGCATATGGGTGCAAAGGCTGAGACTGTCTTGAACTGCCCAGGATTTTTAAGGGCACAAATTAGAGCGCCGTGTCCACCCATACTGAACGAAAGGAAGAAGCATTTTAAAAATTACATTCTAAAATGTTCCTGCACTTCGAAGAATTGATTTTTTTCGTTTTAATACCTATGGCCCATTATGGACTGCCTAGACGGCAAAGTTGGAAATTCTTTATTGATCAAGGCCGGCAATTCTTTGGTAATGTAGCTGTACATCCTGTAGTTCTTTTTCCACGGCTCGCGCGTCGCGTCCACGTAGAATCCCGCGCCAGTGCCGAAGTCGTAACTTTCGTTCTCCCCAGGAATATTCAGCCCTCTCGGGCTGGTGTCCGGTATGACGAGGAGCACCCCGTGATCCGCGGCGTGTTTCTGCGCTCCGGCTTTCTGCGTGAAATTAGCCTCGGTACAAGTGAGACCGGACAACCAGTAGATGACCGGCACCGACTCCTTCTCCGCCTGGGGCGGTACGTAGAGAGCGAATCTCATCTTGCACCCCAATTCTGTACTGTACAAGCGCAATCATTGTTTTTTTTTTTCAGTAAGCGCGAAATACTTTAAAATAAATTCAAATTAAATAGAAAACAGATGTCCTAAAACAGGTAAACAAATATCCCTCAGGGATTCCCGATGACTATCGCGTACACATCATATATTTACCTGTTGTGTGTATATACCTTCTGCCATCCTCCGAAAATTTTATTTCTCTCAACTTCTGTTAATTTCGACATCTGGAAATTATATCGAATCCTCAGTGAGCAATACTGTATCTTCTAGACAATTGCGCGAGTAACTTTACTCGCCGACAAACTTTGGGTAAGTAAATTATTAAGGTTAGAATCAGGTAGGAGTAGGTTAGAGAAAGGACCAAAATTGCCAGTGTCTCTCGCACATATGTTATTTACAAATATAGATATATAATTAATTTTATCAGTGTATAACGTAATTTTTTTTAAAAAACAAAATGCAGCAAGTATAATTTAAAAATCAAGATATATCCTTAAAAAAAAAATTCATTATTTTCGTAAATATGGAAAGCAGAAAAATAAATAAAGATCTTTTTATATAACATTGCTGTTTCACGAATACAAAGCATCCTCTGATTTCTCTAAAATTTCACCTACTTTATATGTATCTCCAAAATATACGGACGACACTTGCGAAGTTTTGGTAGACCGAGCTGCTTGCAGACTTATGCGACGCAACGTTATTCTTAACATAATAAAACACGCGGCACTCCAAACGTTGACCTTTGAGAACTTTTATGTGCACGCGTATCCACTATTTGGTGCGATAATACATAACATTACTTGATAAGATTGTACATTATCATACATGTTGATTTTTTTTCAATTGTAAATAGATGAAAAATAAAAAAACGGCCTTGGCGATCAGGATGAAGCATGCTGCAATTCTAATTTTAGTAAAGATATATAAGTGCCTATGCGAGCCTCCGCCGCATGAATCAGTATCATCGTACAAGTTTTATCCGTTTATTATTTAATTTTGATGACGCGTCTCTCTTTGTTCTTTGTCGAACGTAAAATTTTTAAACATATATGACGTATGTAACTGACGAGAATCATGAAGAGAGATCACACAGCCAAGTCCATTCGAAACGCTCATTATAATTTAGCAATTCTGTTACATTAAAAAGAATCCAGATTGGGATCGAAACGTTTGTATTTTTTGTTTCAATATACTATTCATACGACTGTACTTATTTTATATATGCACTAACAACGGCGGAGACTCGCACTTATATATTTTTGATTAATTATTCATTGGAGCCATTTTACGTTTATTTTTAATTTATTCTAATTATTAGGCTATCGAAATTATTATCACGATTTTTTCCGTGATTGTTGCTTTTTGTGTACAATAGCGGATCGCTTTGATAAAAGAGATTCTTTGGATGGGGTATCACGCTTTGCAGTTTTCCTCGATGCACTACACGTTGCTGAAATCAAATGGAATACGAATTATTAAGATTTAATAAAAATATATTTTAAAAAATCAAGTCTTCGGAAATTAATCGATAAAAATTTTTCTTTCTTTTAAATTACTTCGATGATGTAAAGAAAGATACGACATTAAAAAAAATTATTTCTTCGGAAGTTAATTAATAAAAAATTAATTTTCTTTCTTTCCAATAACTTCCGATAATGTAAAAAAAATTTGATGACATTTAAGTGATATCCCAATGATTCCTGATTCTAATGCACGTACGTTCGTCAAATTGCGGCTCTATCTTAACTACGCTGCCGATGCTCTCCCTCGACGACGTGAAGACGCTCATGCGGCTCGTGCTCTTCAAAGGCTGATCTATCGAGCCTACGGAACTACCGCAAGGGCTAAGAGGCGATCTAAGCGACGGGGGAAAAGACGGTAACTCGACGTTCTTCGCCATCAACAATTTCTTGACATACGCTTCGGCTTCCACGTGACGAATCGTGAACTCCGCGATATCCTGAAGAACCAGGGCGTTCTGTTCTTGAAGCTCTCGCAGTTCCACTTCTCTCTGATGGGAAGCATCTCGAGATAAAATCGTCAAAGGACATGATTCAACGCGGCAGATCTTTATTATTTGCTGTCTACCTGTTGCAGAAGCACGGTGTCGTCCCTTTTAGAGATATATAGATTTTGTATATCCTTCTGTGCCTTACGAAGGCTCTTGTCGGCTCTGGAAATCTTCTCTCCTTGCTCTGCCGTCTGTTTCTCGATACCCGATAAATAACGTTCCTTATCTTCCTTGTCCTCCTTTGCTTTCTCGATATCTTCGAGCATTTGAGTATGATTATTCTGCGCTTTCTGCTCAATAAAATTGAAACATTAATTCTCTATATTTTATTGTTATCAGTTAAATTTATACTTTAGGCTTAGTTTAATGTTTTGCACGAGCTAAATTTAATATATCCATTATTTGCAATGGAATATAGATATATTTTATATTATGAAAATAATATACAATGAATACTGAAATACAATTTTATCGTATATTTTACTTTTTAGATCAAATGCGCTTTACAGCTTTTTTTTCTCACTATCCTGATACCATTTCATTTTCTTTTAATTAGTATATCGATAAATACCATCTTGTCTTCTTTTAATTATTATATCGATTTTTTTTATAAGTCTAAAAAAACTCTAAAAAGATCCTACGCAAAAATACCTGCAGTTCATCGAACAATCGTTGCAGCTGCGTCTGCTTTTGCATTAGCTTCTGTCGCGCGTTGTGCATCAGCTCGTCGAGCCGCCTCTGTTCCGTCCACTCGGGTGCGTCCTGGTCAACCGCGCTTATACTGTCCCTGTACTTGTCGTTACATACGTTCACCACCCGCAGCGTGTTCTCCATGCTACGTATCTCCTGCTCGGTTCGTTGGATCGCTTCGTCCAGCTTGTCGCCCTGTTCCCGCAGCATGTACCGCTCTTGAGCGCTCTGTATCTTTAAGTACGCGGTGCTTATCGGCGCCCCGTCCGGGGTATCACCCATCGTCACGAGGCCGCAGTCGTATCGCGCCTGCAGCTGCCGTATCCTGCCTCTCCTCTCGGCAATAGCGATGCGCAGCTCCGAGCACTCGTTGCCGGCGACCCTCTTCTGCACGGCCAACGCCTCTTTCTGCGCCGCGATCTCGGTTGCGCGCTCCTTAAGCGCCTGCGGGAAAAGGTGAACGAATGGACGTGTCAAATGGAGAAACGATATGACTTTGCAATTTGAAATCATAACGAATACAATCGATTTCATGTTACAAAATCTTCTGTTATTATTTTCTTGTTAATCTCGTTAATTCTAACGAAATAAGGAATGACTCACAGCTTCGAGGTGAAGACGATACTTCTCCAAATCGTAGACTTTATCGCTCATGTTCGATGTCATTCGCTCGAGCTGCGACACCCGAAGGCGCATCATATTCTCTTCCACTTGCCTCTCCTCGTTCCGGGATTGCGCGATTTTCAGTCGCTTCTCGCCCCCATCTAGCAGCAACAACAAATCCTGCTTTTTGCTCCGTAACCGTTCGAGTTCCTCGTTTTCGCTCGACAAGCAACTAGATAGTTTTTTCATATCGTGCTGCAGATAAAAAACAGGAAAAAATATTTTCGTCAAATTTCAATCGACTAAATTTTTTAATTAATTTTTTAACCAATTTTATCTTTTTTTTTTTTAATGGAATTTTTTTTCGAAAAATATAAAATTTAATAAGCCATACCTCCAAACTGAGAATCTGATTTTGCAGCAATTTAGATGTGGCCGTTTTCTCTTTCAGTACAGCCTGCAGCTCCTCGATTCTCGCCTGCTTCCTTTCGACTTCGCTCTTGTCGCGCTCGTACCCTCTAAGACGTTCGAGCTTCATCTCGCATTTTTGCAGATTGAAGTCCTCTTGATAAAGAGTCTCCTTCTTCTCTCCCAGAAATTTGTTCTCCTTCGCGAGCAAGGCATCGAGCAGATCAACCTTCTTGTGCTCGCCCTGCATTTCCATCTGCAGAGTCTTTCTTTCGCTCTCCAATTCTACAATCCTCTTCATTGTACGTAAAGTCGTGGCTTGCAGTCGACTCAATTCTTTGACGATCACGGATTTTCGTTTCTCGTCGTGCTGAAATCAGTCGTAACGAATTATATTACTCTTTCCGAGACAATTCTTTTATTATATCAAAATTGATGTTTGTACAATTTGTTAGCAACGCAAGCATTGATCTTTCTTCGTAATAGTAATAATATAACAAAAATATCCTATCTTAAAATTGCCATGTTACCTGCGTTGAAGCCTCTTTTCCCCAATGTTTAAAAATTCATATCTTTCAGAAACATAAAGATATAGACTTCTTTCTAAGCTCATCTTAAAGATAAATTATGTGGATATTTTTTTAAAAATCGTGATTTTATTTAAAAATGGCCGATTCAAAATGGCCGATTGAATATAATAATACTAGTACATAACAGGCGCGCGCTTCGCGCGTATTATTATATTTTATAAGTATATATATATATATTTATATAATATATAATATTATTATATGTATTATATCAATAATACGTTATAATAGCTAAAATATATAGAAATATACCTCGATCATTTTCTCCAAACGCTTCGTCCTCTCCTCGACGTTTAACTTTTGACTCTCAAGCTCCTCCAAAGTCGACATTAAATCATTGATTCGCTTCTTGCAATCGTCCACCTTTATATGCTTGTTCTCGATCTCGATCCTTTTGCGCTTTACGTTGGCTCGGATTTGCTGTACGCGACGTGCCAAATCCGCCACTAACTTCTTCTGAGTTTGAAGCTGTCTCGATAATTATCGACAAATGTATAATCGGTAAAATTATGAAAAAATAAAATATAATCTGTAGTTATATTTAAATTAGCACGCGATAATTTTTAAAACTAGATTTATAATTTTATGGAAAATATAATCAGAATCTTGTATCGTCCTCACCTCGATGCTATAGATATCAATCGTCTCTGTGATTTTGCGCTGTTTTTCTTGGACTACACCAAGTTCCTTCTCCGAATGTTTAATCAACTGTTCTAGCTGCTTGTTGTTTACAATTTGATCCTTTAAAAACTGCTCTACTTCTTCGAGATTGTTCTTTTTCTCCCTGTCGATCTCTCGCAACGTTTCGAGTTCCTGCAACGAATTGTATCGTATATAATATCGACCAATGCAAAATTGGAGGAAAAAATTGTTCATACTTTCAGACTGTTCTGTATATCGTTGTCCCTCTGGCGCAAAACGTTGACGCTTTGCGTCCATTGATTTATCATTTGTCTGCGTTCTTTCAACGCTTCCATATACAGTTTCGCTGTGCGGTCCAGAACAATCTCCATCTCTTGTACCTCGTCGACAGTTTTAACAATAGCTTGACGATAAATCTCTAGTTCCATCCTGAGTTTTTGCCGTTTCTGCTCCAATTCCTAAAAGTAAAATTATACATAATTATTATGACACTTTTCATACAGAGATTTCAGCTCGTGAAATTTATTGCTTATTCTTATTATCATTAAATCCTAATTTTATATCTTTTTATTATTTTTTTATTATTTTATGTCTTTTTATATATTTTTTTAATTATTTTATATCTTTTTAACTTTTAAATGTATAGTAAAATCTTGTATTATATATACATATAGTATAAATATTACAGAAACTGCTGAACAATTTTAATCAAAACAAATATATAAATTAATAGGCAAATTAATGATCTAAATTAAATATAAATATTTAATACTTAAAAAAGTTTCTGATTGAATAATTTTTCAGCATTTTTATTCTATTCTGAATTCCATATTTTTCTCTAAAATAAACAAAAAATAAAGTGAAACAACAATATCAAGTATCTATTTATGCTATTTCGAATTAACTGATTTTTTTTATAATGTTTTTCTAGAAATATTTTTTAAGAACGCATTTCTGATTATATTTTACACATCTTTATTTTTATATTATACGCTGTAATTACTATTTACTTTGTATTTTTGCGTATCCTGCTTCATGTAATCCTCTATCAATTGATTATCCTCGTCCTTCCGCGCGAGCATCTCTTCCCACTTGCGTAAACTATCCTCGTCGAACTGGACCATCTGTTTCGCCTCGTCCAATTTTCTCGTCATTCTAACCAGCTCCTTCTCCACGCTTGCTACCCTGCGATTCACATCCGTCCATTCCTTCTCGAATTCGCGCGTCTCTTGGCGTAGCGACGATTCGGCGTTGCCAGTCAATCGATACAGGTGATCCTCTGTCTCCAACTGGACCGAATGCTCAGCGAGCAGCTTATGATTGAATTCACGACGCGCGGTCAGATCGCCGGCGTGCTTCAGGATCATCTTCAGCCGTTCTTCGAGATTCTCCAACTTTGCACTTAACGAGACCTTGTGCTTCGTCTTTCTAGCAATCTGTTCGGACAATACAAATGAATCTAGAATTTTCATAGCTTCTTTTAAATTAATGCTTAAAATTAAATTAGCTTGTGTCATTATCGTGTGACATAATTACTTCTTCTGCACATTTATTTACATAATGGAATATATAAAAATTAATATTCAGATGTATTAATTATTAAATGTGATAATTATATTTTCTTAATCATAGTAATTATGAAAATATAAAAATACTATTAGATAAATACATAAATATGTTTAAAAAAATCCCTCTCTCTCATGAGAGTCTTGATTTCTACAAAACATCCCTAAAACAATTCTTGCTTAGCATTTATGAAAGTTAAAGCTGTTTATTAGACTGAAATCTTCACTCGCTAATAAAAGTTATTTTGCAATCACATTTAATTCTTATTCAATTATTTTTTATTCAATTCTTCTTTAAACTAACAAATAGAGGAACAACTTTTAATTTACTTTGCGCATTTGCTTATCATTTAAAGTATCTTGTGTTATCACATATTTTCGCTAGAGAATTACTTCAGCGAGAGTCAGTTCTACCTAATAAACCAAGAAAGGAACTACTGTCATGAGAGTGACTTCGGCCAAGTTCCGACTAAACGGCAATTAACTCGTCAAGTAGGATTTGATTAGCGTAGAAAGAATTATTGATTTTTCATTTGTCACGTGGAAAGAACGATTAGATTAAGAATAATGAATCGAAGAAATTTTACTCGAATTAATTGCCGTTCGAGTCGATGGAGTTCGGTTGAAGTCGAGGGTCTAATCGAGCCGAATCGCCGGATCGCGTCTTTACTTCTTCCTCCAGGCGTTTATTCTCCTCGTTAGCCACGGGAATTCGGAAGCCGTCCTGCCATCCCAGCTGGCTCAAAATCACGTCTATGTTACCCGTCGCCATGCCGTCGAGATACCGCTGATCGTTCGTGACAATTATGTGACAGCCCGGCTGTGAGATCTTCGACGCGGCAGCGTTTGTATTCGGTAGCTATAGTGACTGACGAGACATGCGCAATAAGAGACTCTATCTGCGGAATCGGCAAAAATTTAAGAAAAAATAAAAATTAGAAATAAGAATTAATTAGTTATTTATATTATATATACAGAATGACGCTTGTTACAGAATACTGCTTATACGACCTCTCTCTATTAAAAATTAATTAAAATTTGTTTACCTTTTACGAACATTATCAAATCCACGCGATATATTTTAAGGAAATTTTACAAGCTGTGTAATTATTATATTGTCCTATAATAATTTTTATTTGGCAGTAATTATCTAATTTTACAATAATTCTTGTTTACGATAACTCTTATTATTCTAACCCATTAAACGGCCAACAAATAAAAGAATTACCATGTTTCGCTGAAAAGTTTTTAAAAGATAAGCATCGGCAACAAGACACGTGCTATTTATACAAGTCTAAAATCTTTACGAGGCTCAAGAGAATTGATATTGTATTCACAGAAAAGCAAAATAAATAATAAAAACAATTCTAAATGTGTATATACCCATACAGCTACAGTGGACTAGACAGAAAAGGGTTAAGAACGCGCCTTGAGGCGGCGCGGGCGCCATCTGGCGGCGCGGCGGGCGAGGCAGCCTCTCGGCCGTCAGCGCGTATCTACGGCCGCGGTGTGCAATAATACATCGTTCCGGCATTCCTGGTTAATACGTGTCCGTCCGTCACCCGTGCGTCCCCGTGTGTGTCCCCCTCGCCTGGTGTTGTGCTACCGCTTTGGCCGCTACGCGCACCGCATTACATTAACGAAATCTATATGGAGATTGTCCGCCGCGTCTCGCGCCTGGTGGGATCTCCTCTCGTTCGTGCGTACGCGTAAAAGGTCGCCCGGCCGGTCGGCGCGGCCTCGCCGTTCCAGGGAACGGGGAAACGAACGATGCCTCGGGGACGGCAGTTGCTCTGCCTTCTGGCGCTCGGCCTCCTCGCGCCGTCGGCCCGCGCCGACGAGCACAATCACGTCGTGAGTATACACAATCCACCTCCCCCCCCTCCTCTCCCCTGGTTACGCCTAAGCGGACACGTCGCGACACGGCCGCCGGAATGTCAGGTTGCCGCCGCGACCTGCTGTTGGCATTTAAAGGCCAAACGTCGCGCCGCACAGCCCGCACAGACACGTCTTTTTATTGTTATCTTTCTCCCTCTCTCTTTCCCTCTCTCTCTCTCTCTCTCTCGCTCTCTGTCTTCGCACTTCATTACCGCGTCGAAACGATTATCGGTCATTACTTGATATGTATCGGCGAAAAAAGCCGTTTATCGTCACCTTTTTTGTTTTACCACTGATGAATTCCGTCTCGATTTGCGCAACGTATCTCCCATTTCGATCGTGTCACGTTCCACTCCTCAATTCCGTTTCCTTACAAACTGCTCAGCTGGACGTTGAGGGTACCTCAAAGACACGATGTTTTGTTTTTCAGTACGAGGATGGCGACGAGGTCGTACTATGGATGAGCACCGTAGGGCCGTATCACAATCGTCAGGAGACGTACTCCTATTATTCCCTACCCTTTTGTACAGGTACCAAGAATGTCATCAATCATTACCACGAGACCCTGGCGGAGGCTCTGCAGGGCATCGAGCTGAAGTTCAGCGGCTTAGATATCGAATTCAAAGGTGCACACTTAAAATCAGTATACATTCGTGCAATATATATTTATTAATTAACGATGATATAAACATATTAATTGCTCAAGGCAGCATTAAGAATAAACTACAAAATACATTTAAAACTCCCATTTTATGTTTCAGAGGATATCTCGAAGACAGAATACTGCCAGATAAGTTTAAACGAAGAAAGTCAAAAGGCGTTTGCGTACGCGATAAAGAATCAATATTGGTATCAAATGTACATTGATGATTTGCCAATATGGGGTAATTGATATGAACACTTCTTACTGTGAGTGTCAAGGTGGTCAGAGATCTGATAATTTAAACTCTGTTGTATTGCAGGTGTTGTGGGTGAGATTGAAAATAATGACGGAGTTGCGGTGTCAGATTCATATTACATCTGGGCGCATAAAAAGTTCGACATCGGATACAACGGCAAGCAAATAGTGGACGTTAATCTGACCAGTGACAACAGGGTGAAGCTGGTGCAAGGCGCGCGTATACCTTTTAGCTATGAAGTCAATTGGAAGAAAAGTAATGTCAAATTTGAGGATAGATTCGACAAGTATCTGGATCCTAATTTTTTTCAGCATAGAGTAAGTTCTTGTAACGTACTTCTTGAAATAACAAATATATATGCAACGATGTAAACTACAAATTTTTTTTCAGATACATTGGTTTAGCATCTTTAACAGCTTCATGATGGTGATCTTCCTCGTCGGGCTCGTCACAATGATTTTGATGCGCACTTTGAGAAAGGATTATGCTAGATACAGCAGGGACGAGGAGATGGACGATATGGAGAGGGATTTGGGCGACGAGTACGGTTGGAAACAGATACACGGAGACGTGTTTAGGCCTGCGAGCCACGCTATGCTCTTCTCAGCGCTCATAGGCGCAGGCTACCAGGTACACACATCTCTGTATCTCCTCAATTCCTTCTCAATTCCTTAAAGTAAAAGAAGTTGCGAGTGACTCCATATTTTTTGGCATGCAAAGGTCACAGTGGTGGTGTTGAGCGTAATCATCTTCGCTATCCTGGGCGAGCTTTACACGGAACGCGGTTCAATGCTGTCAACGGCAATATTCGTGTACGCCGCCACGTCGCCCATCAACGGTTACACGGGCGGCGGGCTGTACGCGCGGATGGGCGGGCGCGTGTGGATCAAGCAGATGATCCTAAGCGCTTTCATGCTGCCGCTCATGGTCTGCGGCACCGCCTTCTTCATCAATTTCATCGCCATGTATTACCACGCCAGCAGGGCGATACCTTTCGGATCCATGGTTCGTAGTTGCACATCGTGATAATCTCGATCGTTCATCCTGCTCTTGCATTCGATTCACGTCGATTTACGTTGTACGTAATGCGCAGGTTGCGGTGACGTGTATCTGCATATTTGTGATATTACCGCTGACGCTGGTAGGTACCATTCTAGGCCGTAATCTCGCCGGGACCCCGGACGCTCCGTGCCGCGTGAACGCAGTGCCGCGACCGATACCCGAGAAGAAGTGGTTCATGGAACCGCTGGTGATCATAATGCTCGGCGGAATCTTACCCTTCGGTTCGATCTTCATTGAGATGTACGAAATCTCGCTTTATTGGTATCTCAAGTCACTTCGTTTAATCCGCCATTCGTTTCACATCGATCGATACGCTTTCAGGTACTTCGTCTTTACCTCATTCTGGGCGTACAAGATCTACTACGTCTACGGTTTTATGTTACTAGTATTCCTTATTCTCAAAATAGTGACGGTATGCGTCACCATCGTATGTACATACTTCTTGCTGAACGCCGAAGACTATCGATGGTAAGTCCGCATCGTACGTGTCTGTGCATATTTTTCTTTCCTACAACGCGAATATTATCCGCAGGCAATGGACGAGCTTTCTTGCAGCGGCTTCGACGGCCGGTTACGTCTACATTTATTCCTTTTACTACTTCTTCTTCAAAACTAAGTGAGTAGATGTTACACGCTTCTTACGGCAGGCAATTCGATCGCAAATACTTGAATACCATCTATATTTGTTTGATATTTCGTGTTTACAGAATGTACGGTCTCTTCCAAACGGCGTTTTATTTCGGCTACATGGCACTGTTCAGCTTGGCCCTGGGGATCATGTGCGGCACGGTCGGATATATTGGCACCAACGCGTTCGTGCGAAAGATATATTCCACAGTCAAGATAGACTAAGGATCGTCGGCTAAAGTATTCGCATCGTAACGATGTGTAATTCCTAAGAACTACGCGCGCGCGCGACACTCGTTGCTGCTCTCGACGAGATAAAGCGCAGAACTTTATTTGTCCGAAGCAGAGCAACGAAGTCCGTCACGTCGCTCGGGAGTGCGATTCTTGGTTTTTTTTTTTTTTCAGCTTTACCCATCACCCGACTTAATTGGTGTCCGCTCTAGAAGCGGCCGCGACGTGTGTTCTTCTCTTCAATGTACTATTACTCTTCCAAGGGACGCTTTCCAGTGGAACTCACGCCGTCGCGCGTCTACGCGTTAGATAGTCGAACGACGTTCTCTCATCTTCGCATTCGTCCGTTTGTGTTTTCTTTCCGGTCGTTTCGCTATTCGAGAGCAAGCAAAGATACGCTGTAAACGGATCCTACGATACTAGTACACGCGCGCGTGTCGCAAAATGCAGTCACCTGTCAATAATAAAATAATAATTGTAAGTGTTAGAGCCGCGAATCCTGTATGAGAGTCCGAGCTATTGTACGAGCAAAACGGTTTACCGCAATCGTGCAAATTGAACGTTGTTCTCATACATTTTTTTATCCAAGTATGCCGCTAAAAAGAATTGTAATAATCAATATATATATATATATATTTATTTAATAATATAATAATAATATATATATATTTAAAAAATAAATATTGCACGGTCGCGCGATCGTTCTTTATCACGTATGTATACATCTCGCTGTCTCGCTTGCGAACGGCATTTGCGATCGAGTCATCGTACAAAAAAATCAAGAAGTCTCAATTCGCTTTCTGTTTCAAGGGACTTCAGCTCGGACAATGAAGCATGAGAGAATTATAATGTAAAATAACTTTTTCTGAATTCTTCAAAAACGCAAAGTAGAATGTTGCAATACTGAAAATTGTAATAAACTACTAGGTAAATTAGACGTGAGAACACAAAATGCATTATAATTTATTAAATTCATAGTTTTACGAGACACTTCTGTTGATAAGCGAACTGTGTATAGGAGTATATAATTGTGACTTAGATCATTGTCTGACTGTCGGTTTGCCAATTTCACGTTTCGTTATCGTAACGGAAAAAAAAATCCTTACCGTTAAGCTAAATTGGTTCGAAGTAAGGAGCAGAAATCGTGGCGTACAGTGCCCGATGCAAGGACCTTTTTTTTTGGCGGTACGACGACCGCACGGATCATGATCTCGTCCGCATTGTCCTCTCTTTACGTTTCGAATTGCTATCTTGTAGGATTCGCGAATGAGTCCACGCTCACGATTCTCTTCCGCGGGCGCGGGCGCTGTCGCTGTCGCCCCCGCATCATACAAATTTGATCGCCGTCTCGAGGGACGAAAAGTTAATTCCGCAAAACATAATTAGAGATAGGTATACTCGAATAAGAGATATAACGATGAGAGTATTACGTTTCAGTGATTTTACCGAGAGACTAATGTTGGTGGGAGTCTTCGATAATAAGTAAAACGATTTGTTGTTAGATGTAGTGATTCTGAAAAAAATATATAAAATTTCTACGTATACAACAAGTATCGCAGCTTCGCTTCTTTCCCTGCGCTCCGGTGAATTCTCATCGTTGGAATTTGATTTTGCGTGTTTCCCGATGTGAAAATAATTTCTCGCTATTTTGTAAGTTTCGTACGTTGAATGTGAATTTTCAAAACTAATGTGTATCTATTTTTCGAATTACTTAGACCGGATAAAAAATAATCTTATCACTTTATATAAGCGATACGAGACACGGAATATGCTTCATAAAACGGACACAAGTATATGCCGTAAAATATCAAAAGCTGTTAACTATTTCAACTCTAAAGTAACAAACTATTTCCAGATTAATTATGTGTCTTGCACTCGTATATTAAAAAATCAAAATTCCAATCAATTTATTTTAAATCTAAAGTAAAATGAATTATTTTAACGGTAACAATTTTGCTATATAAACATTAACATGCTGTAAACATTTTGTTATATTAAAAACATCGAAATTTTTTTATTTCAATTAATCCTAAAAATAAAACAAATTATTTCAAATCTAGTATATCTCGCTCTTGTATATTAAAATATCTATTTTATTCAATCTTTTAATTTTAAAATAAAATAAATTAACAATTATATGTATATCCCGCTGTCATATTTTAAAAAATCAGTTTTCATCAATACTTTAATCTATTCGAAATTTTTATATTGCAATTAATCTTAAAAATAAAACATTATTTCAACGCTACATCTCGTTTTTGTACAGTAAAATATCTATTTTATCAATCTTTTAATTTTAAAATAAAATAAATTAACAACAATTATATATCTCGCTGTCATATATTGAAAAAATAAAAGTTTTCATCAATACTTCAATCCATTCTGAAGTAAAGCTATTATTATAATTTAACAGTAGCGGTATACATTACGCTCTATACTAAAGAATCAAATTTTCCCACTACGATATGGCGGGAGCTATCCACTTCCGACTCAAATGGATGTTTGACATTTTTTTTTCTTTTGGCTTTCGCACTCGCTACCTTTTACATTTACGCAGTCACGTTCAAGAATAAATATTGCAGTTGCCGTCCGGGGGAAGCAACGTCGCGAGAGAACACGAGCGAGGAACAACTCGCTCGGTCGACCGCGGTGGTGACAGTGTGGCACGAGGGAGCGGGCTGTCGCGCAACTTCACGTGTCACACAGCGCACACGTCGACGAAACGTCGACGCCGGATCCCGGATACGCGCTCGTACGGCACACGGTGCTGGGTGCATTGCACGGTGTTGTGTGTCGGCGACTCTCAAGCGACTGTGACTCGCGTCGAGTGAGCCTCCTGCTGCCGAGTACTTGCCGAGAGGGAACCGCAACGGGTGAGGACGATGGCGCCGAAGCAGCGGATGCGTATCGCGAACGAGAAGGCGACGAAGAACATCACGCTACGCGGAAACGTCCCCAAGTCGTCGGTGAGTCCTCGATCGCCGTCGCGCGTAATCACGCCCGGCCGCGATATCCTCCGGACGGCCGCGCTTCCGCGAGCGGCCTCGCGGTCTGCACCCGCGGGTCGGTCCTCGTAAAGTCGCGCGGATTGTCTCGTTCGAAAAATCCCGGATCTTTTGAGAGAAAAATGAAAATTTTCACGAGAACGATACTCACGTCGCATCTCGACGACGTTTCGAGACAATGACATATGGTCGAGGTTTTCGATACGGGCGAAACAAGAGGATCCGATCTGCATCGTGATGAGAAAAGATTCGCGACGATTTGACTCGAATCCCACGAGGATTTTCCCACGTAAATGTCGGTACGTGATATTAGAGGTTATAGACGGACAGATTTCTCCTGACAGATCGACCTGTCAAACGACGTCAGACGTTCCGTCCCTCTCGTTTGCGAATAGCCGAAAAAAAATCATTCCGTCAGTTACGAACAATCACCCGGCGTCTCGTTTGTTTCGCACCGAAAGAACCTCGCATCTGTCAACAGACAGGTCTACCATATGTGAAGCCAAGGATGTGAATAACTAAGAACGACGCGACATTTATCGGATGCTCACTGAAAAATATCGTTCAGTTTATATCGCGTATGTCGATAGACCTCGTCTATGTTTACTCGCACGGACGCGCTCGGCCGTACTCGATACTTCCGTGTACGTGTTCCACCTGTCACCCGATATTCATGCTCGTAACTAAACAGGATCTTCTGTTATGCTAGAAATCGCAAGAGGAGGGATCTCCAGTTGGACCTTGGCTCTTAGCTCTGTTTCTTTTTGTCGTTTGTGGATCTGGTAAGTCCTTGCATGACGATCTAGATACACAAACTGGAAATAGAGCTTCTCCATCCTTGACATCTGGCACCAAGCACTCTCTGTTCTCAGTATTTCCTCTCCAGTCTCTCTTTTTGTTTTGTTACAATGAAATATACGTGGTTCTAAAAGTATGCTAAATAAAAATGTATTTATTCGCATGTATAGAATATCAAATGTGATATAATGGGAGCAGAGAAAACACTAACGACAGATGGTAAACATGCCAGGTGCTGAGGTTAGAGAAGTTTAACTTTATATGCAACTTGTTCACATAATATCCTGTAAATTGATTAATTTGTCCTTTTTTTAAGTTTTTTTTTTTTCATTTATACTTTATATATTTTTACTCGTATAAGATATAAGAGCAGAGAAAACAGTAATGACAGATGGTAGATATGCCAGATGCTGAGGATAAGTGAGAAGTTTAACTTTATATGCAACTTGTTTACATAATATCTTGTAAATTGATTAAATTGTCCTTTTTTTTAAGTTTTTCTTTTCATTTATACTTTATATATTTTTACTTGTTCTATGAAGTATACTTCAACTGAAAAGTGACATTGTTTGTTACAGCCGTGTTTCAAATCATCCAGAGTATCAGAATGGCTTGAAGAGGAGAGGAGGGTGCTGCTGTTGATATTTAATGCGACAAACCAATTACGATTCGTCGATATGCGAAAGAGACTGACAAACCGTTTTAATATAGATTGTAAATGATGATCGGAGATTACGGGAAACGGAAACCTTTGGCAAAATTTAGACAGTAGCTGAAAAAAAAATCATTTTCCTTTTTATTCACAGAAGAAGCTCAAAGATTTATTTATAACACTTAGCATTTATTATAAGCGTTTAACTTAAATTGCGCTACGCATAGACGAAGGGAGAGTGCTCGAAGATACAAACGCTGCACCGAGGAACAATCTATCGAACTTACACGAATCGAGAGCGAGAGAAAATTAATTTTCGATTCAATTCTTTGTTATACTTTCCGAACATTAACGCGGCTTCCGTGAACGTCTGTTCATAATTGTTTTTTGATCAAACCGTATTCTTTCGTCTATGTGTATGTAGAAAATAATTGTATATATACACACGAATGATTTACCATGCAGATTTCTCCTCAAGATACAGATCTGCCCAATTTGCAAGCACATGAAGCTGAACTCCAATGATTGGACAGATCTGTTTCCAAAGCATTCCGCTGTAAGCAGTTGGTAGCTTTCTGTTGTTATAATGGCCTTTGTACAATGCTTATGCGTTATAGGCAACGCGCGCGATCAGGTCATTATATACATATACAAATATATATTATACATCTCAAAGAATGATTTGTCTATATGAAATATTTGCTACTGACAGTGCACACATTGTCTCTTTTAATAAAGTATATTATCAATAAAGATATATATTGTTTTACATGAGATATGTTTAAAACGATTGTTTTTCTGTAGCAGTCCTTTCGCCCAATTAATGAACCCAATTCAATTGCAATTTGTTTTTCAGTCCAAAAAGAAAATGCGTTTATCTCGTGTTCATTATCGCTAATGGATCATTTCCGAATGCTACAAATTCAGTTGCGTAAACATTTGTGTTTTATCCATTTTGCTCCTTATTCATTATTTTTGTCTTGAACAAAATAATTAAAATATTAAAATCGATTTTTTTGTACAATGTATACACAGTTTAAATACTTTAAATTAAACTATAGCTTTAACATGTAACATTTAATATGTACTTGTATTAAAATCTTTAATTTAAAAAATATTTATAATTAATTTATGTAATTAATATGAAGTTTTGTGAGAAATAGAAAGTAAAAGAAAGAAGGATGTGGCATATATAAGACACTATTAGCACGGACACGAACCGCGTTCTAATGCTATGATTTGATTGACAATGATATAAGATAGACATGGTACGTAGTTCCTTTTTTGAAAACGGATGTGGGGCGCTAGTGTACGGAGGAGAATTGTCGGCTACCCAAAAAGCTGGCGTGGCCTCTCTCACTCTCTCACGCTTCTCACTGCTGGTACGCATGCGGTGATGAACGGTTGTTTTTGTTTTCAAACGTCGGACAAACCGGTAAGGTTACGAATTACTTCGCACTTACACGTCGATTAGAGGTTGAGAGGAGAATTTTGCGAATCTACAAAATAACTGAAAGAGATTGATAGTGAAAATCACGAGGGACTGATTGTAGATATTTGACGCAGAAAATCACAAAATGTCCAGCATATTCAACTTATTGGGTGAACTGGAGTCTGACGGAGGTGAGCGTTATATTCGTTTCTAGAATTACAATTTTTTTACGTCGCAAAATATGTATATTGTTCCTCTAGCATATATTTATATTTTTGACATATAAATTTTAAGTAAATTAGATGAATCTTTGATATAAAATATTATACATATATGGATCTTTTTGGCATGATTTGTATACGAAGAGAATTATGAATAATTATAGATGATTAAGGAACATTTCAAATTGAGCAATTATTCAATCTTGATTTAAATAAGAAAGATGTTTTAATGTAACACATAAAAAATAGATTGGATAGGAAACATAAATAAGTTGGAATAAATGTAGAAAAAAATGTGTGTAATGTAGTAACTTATCTTTTAGGTCAGATAAAGCCCATTGCACGATCTAAAACATCTCACGAGATTAAATTAAATTCCCTCAAGACGATGGGAGGCGCAAAACCGAAGGGACTATCGATAAGATCTAACTCTGATATGAATTTATCCAGCATACATTCAGCCAAGAAAAGTATGCACGATAAGGAACAGGATTGTTTAAAGCTAAAAGTAACACAAATAGATAGTAATGGACGTCCAATATCTCCAGGAAAGGAATTTGTAAAGGTAATAAAAACTTATATTTACTAATGTATTTTCAGTACATTTTCATACATTAAAAACATAATATATATTATATATACAATTTATAATAGAATTTTTTTTTAATCTTAAAGAATCTTTAGGAGACTAGATATTTAGTTTTTGTTTGTTGGAAATTATCTTTTTTTTTTATAGAAGATGATTACACAGTCACCAAAGGTTAAAGGCTGTGCTCTCAAGGAGGATACTACAATTAATAAATGTACAAAAAAGCAATTGAACGACGGTGTTTTTAAGAAGCCATTACTGCCCAAAAAGAATATCAACAGGCTCCCCAAACCAGAAAAATTGGTTCATTGGCACGACAGTCAACATGATTTTGGTATGTGGATAATTATTTTTATTTAAGGTTGACAGTTTGTAACTTAACTGTGCTAGTAAGAATATTCTATATTATGAAATAGTTTTTTACAAATTAATTTTTCATCCAGATTACGGATATATTGAGACTGCAGAAAAAGAATTTAGAGATTTACTCTCCAAGGGAAAAGAGAACATAAAGCCTTGTGAAGAGAATGTATTTGTGTCAGGTATTAAGAATAGTATTAATATGACATTTATTAAGTATGCTTATAAACTATTTGTTTTTTCTATATTTAGAAACCTTGGTCATGCCAGATATCTCGAAGTTTACTCTCGATAAAACTCTTGATGAAGAACACAAGAAACTTTTATTTCCCAACTTAGTTACTCCCGAAGTATCCGATATATCTGATGACGAAAATCTGTAGTGATAACTATAAGGATCATTTTAATATTATAATTTAAAAATTTTTTTCCGTGAGAGTGGATATTTAAGATCAGCTAGTATTATAATAATTTATTTTCTCTAATTGATATATATTTTTGTATTGACAAATGTTGTTAGAGCACTAATTGATAAGTCATTAAGTTACTCCAGAGCATCAATAAAAAAAAAGAAGAAATACTACATAAAGTATAGTTTATATTTGTATAACAGTATAGTTTATATTTGCATAACGTACGATTTATGTGCTTTCTAAGTCTATATTACTGATCTCTCAGTCATTTCGATTGCTAAATATTCTTTTATTCCTATTAGTATGGTAATAAAATTAAAATACAAGTACATTGTAAATTTATATATGAATAAATCATTTGAATTCATTTTTAAATGCTATTTTTTTGTTTCAACTGTCTTGTGTAGAATGTAGTTATCTGCGTGAATGTAACATATATGAAATATGTCAATTTTTAACTGTCAAAAATGTCGAACAAATGTTTCATAGTGATAGCAGGAACTGCGGATAATTTATCATTTCACTACGCGTGTTTTATCGCTATAAATCTTTCCAGGTTACTGCCAAATTTCCATTTCAAAAAAATTTACAAGGACGCCACCGAATGGGAGGTTCAAAGACTGCCTTCAATTTGACTTTTTATCGATAAATAGTATATTGTGTTTAAACTCCAGTTAATTCCAGGCTTGGGTTCGTGCAGTTTGCAAATTGCACGGATGGGAACATACGAAACCTCCACTAATCTGGAAGCAATACGGAACAAGTGGCACTAAGGTCACTTACATAGGTGATGCTGACGAGTTTCGCAGACTCTTGCTTGAATATTACAATATACATTTCGATCTTACGAGAGAGGAATTGAAAGTGTTAAAGACGGATTTATTGCGCGTAAGCGAAATGAAGGAAGAGACATAATACGATTAACAATTATATTTTCTGATATTTTTTTGTGTTCTCGTTACGCAGGCACATGAAGTAGAGCAGAAAAAAATTGGCTGTTCAGAAGTATGGAACGAATATCGTCGTGTGACTATCGTAGGTGCCGGTAGATCGTTATGCTTAGACTTGATTCCACAATTAATGACAATAAAGGAGTTACGTTTGTCACGCGGAATTGTGCTTAGTTTGTACGATGAATTAGAAAATTTTTCTGAGCTCGAAAGGATGGTGAAGGACATAAAGAATGTCAATGAAGATTTAAATGCAACAATGGTCGTACAAGATATATCGAGTGGATTACGCGATTGTGATATATTATTAATGTTTCTCGAGGATCTAACGAGGTACGGAAGATCACAAAGGATACTCTAAAAATGCATGACATTGAGATTTAGAAATAAGGTAAAATATGCTTCATTCTTTGGTGACCTGAGATACAAAAATAATTTAAAGGGAAGAGTATGAGGAACACGAAATTTGGTATCAGAGGATTTATGAGCGCATGAAGACATTGTCACAGCAAATCAACGAGTACGCTCCGTGTCACATTAAGATCATATTCTGCTCTACGGGTCCAACGTGCCTCTGTGCTACCATATTACGGAGTCTCGTAAAGCTACCTGAAACTAATATCGTTGTCGTTAGCGCTCACTATGGATTAGAAGTAATGTGCGATATCACGGTATCTCTCGGCATGGATCAGTGGAATTTCGGTTGTCCCCCGGTATGGGGATTTCTGGGTCGGTGAAATATTCGATTATGTATTTGAACCGTTTAGATAATACGGAGATATGCGAGATACATTGAACGTGTTACTGCAAATCATAGGTATCAGTGAGTTTGTAGATGTGTGCCATATGGTTCAAAAGTGTGATGTATATAGTCCGCAGACTTTAGAAGCAAAGAGAAGCACGACTTCATCAAGAGTCAAGCAAGCTGAGTTAAGGTGGTTTTGTTCCTCTGAACATAATAAAAATCTGTACGAGGATTATCTACGGCGTAGGGTAACTCAGACATTTATTGACATTTTACTGATATATATATATATATATATATATATATATTTGTTCTAATTGTTTTTTTTTTGCTAAAATATCTGAACTTTAAACATATCTTAGGCCACTCGAGTGAATTCACGAAGAGAGAATTCGCAAAAGTGCAAGGCTATATGTGATCTATTAAAGTTGTGGTACAAAGAAAGTATCGGCGATGAAATTATAGCTATAGGAATTTCATCCGATGGTAAACAATATATTTTATTTAAAAAATTGGAGTGAAAGTTAAGATTTGCATTGTTGACTATTTTCCCTGATGAAAATTTTTCAGAATTCTCTATATATTTTTTTCAGAATTTATATATATATATATATATATAAATCCTTTGCATGCAGTAATTAATAACATCTTGCGAAAACTTATAAAATCTGAATAAGTTTACAATATTTTCTCAGGATTCTTTATATGTAAATGTAAAAATTTATGAACTTTTTGAAAAAATTTTTAAAAGTATTGTAGCGAGATGTTATTAATTACTGCATGCAGAGGATTTTTTTATCAGAGTTATTTTAATTTAAACCGTATAAAATATATATTTTAGAAAAATAAAAATTATGTGCTAGGAAGCGCAATGAAAAACTTTTTTAAATATACAATCTTCATATTTTTTAAATAAATATTTATTTAGATTAAAAAGTAAAATCTTCAACTATGATATTTTTATTACAGATAGTTTCGGTATTCCGAGCGGAATAGTATTTTCGCAGCCGGCGTGTTTAAAAATTACGGACAACGGCACGCGAGTTTGGATACCTTGCGACGATTTTCCCTTGCCGGATATGCCTATGTCGATATTTCATAATTTAATCTGCACAGCTGCGATAATTACGAAACAGTTAATAAGCGTGTAGATAATTAAATATAACACTTCAAAAATATCGAAAAATGATACTGTTAAAAAATTATAATATTCTTGCGATAAAAATTTGACTGTGATTAAAAAGGTCAATGAAATATATATTATGTTAATGTTTTACGGCGAGTAACATAGTCTTCGACTGTGTTTCGTGTCATGTATATTGTTTGGTTCTATTTCGTGCTATGTGTGTATGTATGTACATATACATACAAAATATAACTGCAATATGTGTAATACTTGTATAATAATAATGTTATCTTAGATATTTCTTGATGGAAGCCTAAAAGTATAAATCTTTTCAAATGCAATTTTATACTGGCACTTTTTTTAATTTATTATATTATATTACTTAATTATAAACTTAGAATTTTCTTACGAACAATGTATATTTTCAATTTAAGAATTTAAAATTCAATAAAAACGCAAGCTCAAAGTAAAATATAAAAAACGAACGTGTTTATATGTACATACAATAAAATATGTAAGAATTTTTTTTTTCACTTATTTTTATTAATCATTGCAGTACTTTGTATTCGTTCGTCTCCGTTTTTAATATATATTGTTATGCGTATGTATATAGAAAGCGCACTGTACGACGGGCAGCCATAAAGGCGTCCGCCGTATCAATGGCGCGTGCATACCGTGTGCACTAGTGCGGTGCGGCAGCGTCGCCACAATTAGTATTAATTATATTGCCTAGAAAGCTGTGATTGGTTAAAGATTAGCAAGGTAGAATAGGTAAAAATTTTAAGTATTCTTTGATATATATAAATAGAATAACAAATAAGATTTAATTTAAATTATTTTAAGTTACAGTTAAATCTATAATGTCAAACTGAAACTTATTTAAGTCACCACTGTTCTTACCTAATAGTTATTTTTAATAAAACAATGGAGTTCAATAATTTAAAACAGTTCAAATGCATGGGTATTCATAACTTGAGTTAAATTTCATTGCTTTATTTAAAAATAACTATTTATTAAATAGGAGCAGTGGCAACTTAAATAAAGTTCAGTTTGACACTATAAATATAACAATGTATTATTAATTAATAACAACGTTCGCTTGCCCCGGAAAATGGTCGTTTAAATGGACGCAAGAAACTTAACAATCTTATTCTCAATTAACAAAGACAATCGCGAGCTCTGAAACGTGATCGTTTAAATAGGCGCGAGATATTTAACAATTTTATTATTAATGATTGCTAGAATATTAAAACATCAATGCTTTACCTATCAATGCTCTTCATTTTTGAGTTTCAAACTGGGCACTAATTTATTTTTATATACGTTGCAATAAAAAAATGTACCTTTCTTGTTTTGTAGAATTAAATATTACTATATAATAATTGTATATCGTATTATAAATTGATAATAGGATACACACAAATATGATGTTGCAAAATAAATTACTGCTTCATTGTTATTGTTATTAATAAAATTTATTAGAATTTTAACTAAATTGTTTATTTAAGAATTTTCATATTGCGATCAATTATAATGATCACTAAATTATAAAAAATGCAAGGTCTTTAAATTTAATTAAATTTAATTATCCCGATTTCTTAATATGTGTGCTTAATATGTGAAAGAAAAAGATTAGTTTTCTTTCTGAGAGACACGAGATTGAAAAAAACTAGATAGTACTGCGATTATAAAAGATGCTTTATGTTCTTCAAATGTACAATAATTTTTAGATTCGTTCCTATTTTGTTACATACATTTTTCTCTTTCGGCGTTGTATTTTATGTATGAAATTGTTTTTAGAATCATATGAAGGGGATAACAGAGATGAACAACGTTAACATTCGCAAAGCTCACCCGTCTTAATTCGAAATAATTGGAGAACTTAAAAAGAATTTAATATGCTATACGATGGTATCGTTACATTAATTATAGCATGGATTTTTTTTCACATTAACACAGTTCACGATTTTTAAAAGAAAAACGTTCCGGAGTTCGATGTGACGGCGTCGTGGATGAAGGTATTGTGAATCGGTTTATACTGCTTCGTGATGAGCTTGATGGTTTCATGGGCCGCAAGCGCGCCGAGATATGCCGAGACGGAGTGCAATTCCGCGCCACCGAATCGGCAAAGCTCGTGCACGTAATCGTCCTTGGCTAACGGGCCACACCCCCATTCGCTCAACAGTTTCGTCAGGCACGCCTGTGATAACGATTCGATTACAGAACAAATTGTAATGCGAATTGAATAACGTTATAAATGTACAAAAAAAAGGCAGTACCTTAAGCTTCACGATGTCGGGTTCCACCTGGTCGTCAAATTCGCCAGGATACGAATTATACTCCGCCTGGAATTTATCCACTCCCCGGAGCATGACATAGTAAATCATCATACTCTCTGGATTCTCTAAATTTTGAACTGTAAAAAATTGCGGAGAGTCGTTAGGAGCAGCATACACTTTACTAGCAACTATTAATTGCAAGAAAGAATTATATAAAAATAGTTGAAATTGTAATTCTTCCTTGTTATATCATAATTATATCGTAGTTATAATTAAATTCTTGTTATTACTATAGAGACATAACTTGTTTGAACTCGACTATGAATTATACATAAATTAATTGTAAATTATGATTTTATGTATTTTTAAAGATAATTACCTATAATATTGGAATCGAAGACCTTGGGATCGTACTCGTCCGCGATACAGCTTCCTTTTTCTACGTGAATGTTAGCGACGTGTCTGCAAAATAGCTTAACATCCTTTTCCAAAATCGAATCTGACGATCTTCCCAATTGACGTAGTAATTGCAAAGTGCGCCTCCACACGGCTTCCGCATCTGCTGCCGCTTGTTTATGGTAACTAAAATAGATTCGATTATAACGCATATTAATTTACAATAACAGATTAAAAAGTAATGCACGAAAAAGTACTGCAATCTTAAGTGTACGTCAATATTTAAAAAAAATTTTCAATATTCTTTTCTATATAATATTATTACTACGACTATGTTAATTAAAGTAGTGAACAAAATTAAGTAACTATTTAAATGTAACGTGACATTTGTTTATATTTTTGATAATAGAACTTACTAATGAAACACTCTTATTTGCATTGAACACAGAAGACTGAACTACTTTATCGTGCATCATCGTCCTATATAACTGTCATTTCAGGGTCAATATTATTATACATTTGTTGGAGTGCAACGTATTTCTCGGTGTCCGCAGTCATGTCGGGTAGAGTACCCTTGAGCGGTAGCAATCCTCTCCCCTCGTTATCGATGAAGTCACGCACCGCTTTCGCGATAATCCAGAAGGAGCTGCTCTAAAATATACCGGTCGGTTTGAACGCACATGTTTTCAAACGGCAAATTATAGATCATATATAAATCATAGAAATATCTCATCGATACCTTCGCCGTTAAATTAACGCAACGATCGTCGTTTAGAATATTTATAACGCTATCGGGGATATCGCTCACTCTTACACACTTATTTACAGCCTTCATAGCTTCCTCGAAATTTTCCTCGCTATTGGACGAATCGTGCTCGTCGCGTCTCATGCCGTTCTTTATCATTTCCCTGAGCAGTAGCTTCTCTTTGTAGGTTTTCGGTAAGGCGCCTTGTACCGAGAACCACTTTTCTAAGTATTTGTACAAGATAACTAGATACGGTACGTGGCAATGGTCTTTGAAGCTCATCTCGTCTAGATTTATGGAATCTATGTGCTTCTTCAGGCTATCGAATGGCCTGTCCAGGCGTAAATCTGGCGTTTCGTTATCCGGATGGGTTTCCACAACCGTATGCTCCATTATTTGAATTCGCATGTACGCGATAAAGCCTAGGCTCTTACATACTATCAGAGGAATATTCAGTTCCCAAAGTCTTTTCGACAGAAGAATCAACGTTCTGAAAATATTCCCAAGAGAACGCATTTATTATTATATTTATCTTAACGCAGAAATACTTAAAAAATACGTAAAAATTTGTTTTTTTTTAAATAGCTGGTAGCCTAACACTTTTTTGTACTTAAAGTGAAATAAGTATACGTTTGAAATTTGGCAAAAAACGAGACGAAAAGTTCTAATGTAGTCTATAATACAGCAATAAAAAACAAATCCTTTAACTTTAGTTATTTTCTTCTCCAAAGTTGGTTTTTTGTTCAAATAACGGTTTCATTGTACATTATATCTGCAATCTTATTCTTACTTTTCGGTCAGCGCGGTCGCCACAACCACGGTGAAGCTATTGAAAAAATCTGGACTGTTAGATAAAATCTGTTCAGGCTCTTCGTCAATGTAATCGCCAGTCACGTCTGGATTCATCTCCAAGAGCATTTGCGTGGCCACTTGCGCTCTGGACTTTCCGACGCTATCGGCCTCTAGAAAAAAGCTAAGTCAAATCCATTTAATGCATCGCGCTGCGTCTTGAGATACTGCCAGAAAGAGAATGTTGTGTACATACTTGGTCTCGATGTCCTCCTCGGTGATCTTCTTGCCGTCGACTATGGTGAACGCTCCTACACCAGGAAGCACTAGCGATTTCAGTACCTCCGTGCCGAGCCCGGTGGCGTTTATGACACAGACATGAGCAGCCTCCAGAGATGCTTGGCCATGGTCGCCCCACAATCTGCAGGGAACAAAGATCAAATAAATTGTAATAATCTTATTATCTCGCGTGAGAAAGGAAAATCTCAACTTTGGAGAAGAAAGTAACTGAAGTTAAAAAACAATGTGAGACAGAGTACTCTATTAAAAAGATTACAGGTAGGTAAGTTATTATAGATGTTGTCAGTCATAACCTCAAAATCATATGTAGCTGGTGATGAGCCATACCTCAACTGGCGGTCGTATTTCCGATTTTTCTCGGACTGCTCGGGCGATTTCGACTCGGGGGACGCCATCGGGGAGACGAATCCGAGACGATACTGGGATAGTGCAGCGGCAGGAAGCACCTCGAGATGCACAGCTATATACGAACACAGCGGCGGCACCGCACTTGTGCGCGCACCTGGTATGTCAGTGTATGTGAATGTGATACGTATATGTATACATATATGGTGTGTGCGATGTGTGGATATCATGGTCAAGAATGCCGGGATGGCTCTACATTCTACACTCATATACTATACGGTCCATATACTATACTATCCATTTAAATCGCTATTTAAATGGACATTGGACGACGGTAAGCGAGGTTCAGATTTGCTATTATTAAATTCACGACGCACAATCCATATTATAAATAATATCGTCAATCGAGTATTGCAATTGCAATAAAATATATTAGATATATAAATTTAATTTTATATATTTTCAAGAGTATGATATAATGCATTATTTATTAGAGAATTGTTTTAAAGAAAAAAAATATTAATTTTTAAAAATTCTGCAGCGATAGCAAATCTCTTAGATTAAGCGGCGCGTAATACGCATATATGATCATATTTTTCTCTTTCGAGAATTTAAACTTTAAACTTAATTAATAGCATGCGACAGTTTTATATGACACTTTCGTTTGGCATAAGGGTTAAATTATCAGACAAAATAAGGGATGATGAACGCATCATTAGATTGAAATTCGTGTCCTTCGCAAATTACGGTTGATTATCTTTATCCTATGGTATTTCCTCTGTGCGGCGTGATCTAACAATAAGATGTTTTTTTATTTTCCACTTCTAGTTGTTCCTGCAATAATGCCATTAATAAAATAAATAAAAAGGAAATTTTACTCTCCCCTTATTTTTCCTTCTTTTTTCTTCTTCTGATCTTTTGTTTTCTCTCTTTCTTTCTAATTGGTTCTGTTCATATATATGGCAGATTTTGAAAAGTGGGAGAACAGCGCAAAAAGAGAATTCACCTTTGAGGGGAAATAACCGTTGCATAAAACAGAAACAAAATATATAGAAATTATCGAGATTCTTGGAAGGAAGGAAGTCGAATCCAAGCAATAATCGTTGCAATTATCACAATATTGCATTGATTTGCACAGATTTTACATGTTTTATCAATAATTGCAATTACGTATAATCTTCGTATAACGTAAACTTCGATGAAGTAGTTCCGTAACTAAAAAGTGCGCTGAAAATTCGCATGACAATTAACGCTTCACTTTTTTTCTTAAGCCTGTTATTGTACAAATAATCAGTAAATAGTTGCTGGCGCAATCGGTAAATCGTTCGCGGCGCTTTTCGAAGAGACGACGAGAGGCGTCGAGGATTGACGAGGCACGCCGACGTGCCGTTCGATATTCGCGCGCCACGTGCCCACGGCAAGTATCGTCTGTGTCGCGGCCGACGATTGTTGCGTTTGACAGTTGTCGCTGATCAGTCGCGGCGGATGCTACGTGCCTGAGTGAATAACGTCATGTTCAAGACGTGAGTAACGTGTAATAATTTGCGCGACTATATATGCTCCTCTCCGGCCCGTTAAATCTCACGCGACTCCACGTTGAAAATAAAATCGTTCCGATCATTTATTATCAGGGATTATTGATAACGCGATCACGTTATTGACGTTCATTCAATAAAAAGAAAAAAATAAGACGGATCGCGCGAGTCGAACGAAAGTGAAATTCGATGGCGACGGAATTTGTCGTTTGTGTTGACAGTGCGAACTACAATGCCAGTATTTGATTGAAATTGTTTATTTTTATGCGACGAATCACGTACGCGACAGTGTATGTCCACATAATTAAAATTCATTAATGTGGTAATGGTATTTTAATCTAATTATTGACTATGAATACATAATTTATTTCTTTTTTAATTAAAAAACTTATCGTTTGGATTTTATTTTTTAATTAATTACAATAACTTTTCTCTTCGAGAAACACATGCAATATACGTACATGCATATTGCAATAATTTATATGACTTTATATAAATAATATATGAATATACGTACGTTTCTATAAAAATTATAAATTTAGAATTACAAAAAATTGTTTAATTTATTTAAAAGCGGTTCGCTCGTAAGAAAAAAAAATTTTATTTATGAAAATTTAAATAATTTAAATCTTTAACGTGAACATATTTCAAATTTAATTTAAGCAATTTTAACTATTTTTTTACATGGAATTTTTATCAAAAACACAAAAGAAACAAATTTAATCTTCTTTAAAACGTTTGCATCTAAATGATTTAAGGCTTGTATGTTAATGTGAAATAATATTTTGCTTATTGTAATATATATATTTAATATTACAATAGCTTTACTTCCATTTATTTTAATCGCAAAACTTAAGAAACGTTATAATTTTAAAGTGATTTGTCATTTTATAATTTACTCTGTGCCTTATACAATATTTTTTAGATTAGATAGATTTATAGATATTACAGACAGAATATGATTATATTAAGTATAATTAATTGTCTAATTATTTTATTTAATAATTATTAATTATAGATATAAATATTTAAAATTAAATTTAAGCCTATCAAAGCACGGATAATTCACAAAATCTTTTATATATGATATATGTATATATAAATTTTCTCAATTTAAAATAACATTCGCTGTGTGTCATATACACGTATACATAACACAACCGTAAAATGCAAACACGAATAATTTTGTTAATTTACTATAAACATTTTTCTACATACTGATTTTATTTTATTCATCATCTTGGCTATTAAGGTGCAATTTCATGAGACGCTCGTTTTAGCATTAAAGTCATGGCACACAGAAAAACTTAAGCAGAATGTTAATGCGCGAAATGTTCAATGCATAAGTTACTGCATTTATCACTATTGTTTATAGTGCAGATGCATTTTTACACGGGTCATTTAAAATGCTAATTAGGTAAATTTTTATTCATCAACGTACATTATAATGGAAAACAGATAACCTTATGATATAATTACGATTTTGCTTCGAGTTAGTTTATTGCGGAATTCGTGTAGACTCTTGCGAAAATAATTCTATTTATATTTCAATTACGTCGTTATCTGTCAAAACATTTGTTAGTTTAGCCCATGAACCGTGATATATGTGTGTAACAGTGACATCCCACTAAACGGAAATGAATTGAAATTTCAAATCATGGATTAAAATAAATTGAAATGGATTGGTCTTCGTGGAAATGAATGCATTTTTATAAAGGCCAATCCATTTCAATCCATGGTTTAGAATATTTCAATCCATTTTCGTTTACTGGGAGAGATATGTGAGTCACAATACGGAAAAACATTCTGAGAATTCTCCTACTTGATATCTAGTATATCAAAATAAATATTTGCGCGTAGCCGTTATCGATGCTTATCGCGATGTTAACTTTGTTATCCTTGTATTATCTCCGCGCGAACGTAACCACTTATCTCAATTATGTATAGAATTTCGATCGGACTATGCTCCTTGAATTTCGATCGGACTATACCTAATGCTCATTCCCGCGCGGGTATAAGTACGTCTTCGCACGCAGTATAAAGCCGTAAAGTACTTCGCCGCTCTGCACACACATTTCGCACCGTAAATACGACAATTTACGAAATGAGACGTCCGTTGCGAGGCAACCAGTATGTCATACGAAATATAGAAGGGCCAATTATTATCCTAAGGGCTCTCTTCGTCCATTTAATTTTCCTCGAACGAGCGATAATAAATTGATATAATATGTAAATATTAAGTCGCTTCGATGTCATTATACGAGCCCAATAAAGAAAATGTAAGTCAATCGACCGGACAAGTTAGGGTGGTGTGCGTCTCGCGATGTTATCTCTATTCAACTATTCGAAATATTATCTTCAACACCTATCACGCTTGAACTTACTGAATAAAATCGTTTAACCTTTAACGAACGAATTGACTCGCTTATCAGCTGGAAGAGTAAAGGACACGAGTAACAGTTCAAGAAGAATTCTGACCTCTGGTCAGGCGCGATCGGATGATCCAAGATGATATCTTTGTTTTCGTTTTATCAGTATCAATGACATTTCCGTCTTGCTCTCGGTTTTAATGATAATAATTGGAAATGCGGAAAGACGAGAAAGCTTTCAAATTTCATTTGAATACAAAAAAAATGTTTCACAATTTAGACAATTGAGACACATAAAATCTAAGATACGTAATAAAAAATACCAATTTCGAAATAAAAAACGAAAAATTTAAAATTATAATGACGCTAACGGTTTAACGTCAGTGCATAAAATTATATTGATTTAGTTAAAAAAGTCAGTTTTTATGGAACAGATATATGCAATGGCTAAGTAATAATTTTAATAAATATTTATTCGAGATATCTTCAAATATATTAATATAATATTGTATAAATCGAGAAACAGCAATTTCATTGGACATTAAAAAAAATAAAAAGATATTCTGAAATACAGAGGTTCGGTTATTTTATATAGTTTGACTTTGCGTGATAAAAAATTCAATACATGAATAAAATGCGCATATTTATTTGTCATTCAGTAAGCAAACGTCAGCGGATTTTTAAAAATTAGAATTTGCAAATATAAAACACAATATTGACGGCAGAATTCACAAACATAGGCTCTTTTCAGTTTCTATCATCAATTTGTAATACATCAAATCTCGCGACCTGATTTGCTTGATTTCCGCCGTTATATTTCATTAACATAAATCCGCTGATATTTCTACTTGCGTTTTGTCAACATGCTGACAAAATTCGCAGTAAACATTTCGCGAGATCGACTCTCGGTGGACTTCGATTATCTGCACATGCACAGAAAAAGAAACAATTTGTCGACGTTATCGCATAAGGACCGAGAAAACACAACGTCATCGCTCGTTATCACAAAGCGCTCATCTTCTTGCCTTGGAACAATGGACCGATAACATTAACGAATGGGCATTCTATTAAAATTTTGTAACAGTAGATATGTGTAAATTGTATAGTTAAAAATACACGGAAGTATTTCCATGCGAATTTAATGAGTTTTTAATACGTTGTATTTTAGACCTAAAAAAGGACACGTATTTTTGTATACGTGATCATACGCACTTTTAAAGAATAAAACATCCCTTTTGAAAAAAATCAGCTCTTTCCTTTCGAAGCGAATAACATCGAAATATGTTATAAAAGATAGAAAAGAATTTTTTAAATAAAATTTTTAAACGATTTTAAAAATACACGTTCTGTCCACATTTTCCCGTAAGGACGATGGAAAAAAACAAAAACATATATTTCGATGACATTTTCCGTTAGTATAAATTATAATTACAAATGATAAAAAATTTTTATTGTTCATAATTATACATTTATGTAGAACTAGAAACTAGAACAATAGCACTTCAATATATAATAAATTCAATGTGTAACAATACTAACAATAAATCAATATAATATATGACAAGATTAAATTCCTGATTGAATTTCCGCTTTGAAAGAAAATAACTGAAAAATATTTTTTCAAAGAGTCGTTCTCTATTCTCTAAAAATGTGTATGAACATATATAACGAATATGTGTCCCTTATTTTTGGTTTAGAATATAACACATTAAAAGCTCATTAAAAACTGGAGGAAAATATTTCCATGCATTTCATTGTAAAATCAAATTCGTCTATTACATATAGATATTTAATTTTCCTTTTGATGCCTTGAGTCAGAGAAATCTTATTTTATACTATAAGATTTTATCATATTTTCCATATTCATACTCTAATTAATTTATTTTGCATTTACATAACTTTTATTAGATATCTATAACGATGATTTAAGAACGAATTATATAACGTTAAAAAACGAGGAGTTTTATTTTTTTAAATGAAATAAATAGATGTTAATAAATCTTTACGACGATTTAATTTAATAGAATCGGTTTAAAATTTATCAGCTGTAGTCAGCAGTTTCTTTGCGCGCGATCTTATCACGTTCTATTAATTTTTTCGATGTTTTCAAACTATGATTCAATGAAAAACTTACTTTCCTTGATTTAAAAAGAAAAAGTTAGGCTATCTAGCTATTTATATTGAGTTGTATATTGTATACCGTCTGTATATTGAAAAATACCTGCTCAAATGCATAAAACTAATTTAACTTGTTTTCGCATTTGCAAAATATTAGTATGTTTCGAGATCTATTTAAAAAAAAGTGTCGCAACCGATATGTCCACGATTGTACTTTTACAATTAAATTTGATTTCTAAATGTCATTTGTTTACTCACAATCTATGAATAGATATATATACACATATAACATTATTCGCTCATACTTATTTCTTAAAGTAAAAAGTTAAAAATATGAAGATGCAAAGTGCGAAGTTCGGTGTAACTTTGAGTCTGCATGATTCACCACACGCGTGATATATAATTAAAAATTACGCCGATCTCTTGACAATGATATATACTTGAAAATTACGTCGCTCTCTTGACAGTTATGTCCGATAATGAATTTCAGAATTTGAGAATTGAACTTTAAACCTGTTTGGATGTATTGAACCGTTACTATGTGTTCTTATCGCGCGTTTAATCAATGATAATAAATTCACTCACATGAATTAAAAATAGTCTTCGATTTTAAATTAGTGTTAATTGCAAGTTGCAAATCATATTAATTATTGTCTCGCCTTAGTGTATATATGCGCCTCACTTATATCTAAATCATATTAATGTATGTACATTACATTCTACAATATAATATAACTTTCTTATTACTACACTCTCTAAATCTTTGGAAAAGTCACTGATTGAATCAGTATATAACACCTTGCATCGCTAATGAATAAGTGAAACAGCCGAATCCGCTGTGTAATTAGCGAGAACAGCGAAGTGTTCACTGATTTGTCATTGATTATAGCATTATTCACTTATTTATTAGTGATTTTTATTTATTTATAATGATTTTTAAGAGACAATGTCCGCGCTTTACTTTACTGCTTGCGCGCTGTGAGCATGATTTGTTCTTACTTAATAATTGATAAACAATGAGGATTTCCGAAGGCTGTAAGCACAAAAAAAGTGAAATTAATATGAAACGCAGTCAATGCATGTGCATATTGAATATTTGCTATATTGGCGTACTTGAGACATTCAATGAATAAACATTAAAACGTTGATCAGTGATTATCGACTGATTCAGATTTAGAGAGTAATTATTTTTAGTTATTAATTTGAATATCTTATTATATTTTCAATTTAGTTTATTATTCAAATGAAGTTATTTTTTTATGTAACTTGTAAATTATTTTTTTATTTTGACGTTATATATGTAATTCATGTTACATATAGTATTTTTTAGAAATAGATAGATATGAAGAAGCTCTTACATAATATAATGAGCCTCGATTATCTATTATGATCATACACGAAACGGTTATTTGCAAACAATTTGTGATTTATTGTGGAGAAATTGAAAAGAAGTCATGTAGAATAATAGTAATCACGTAACTCGAGCTTGCAAACGAGATACTCAAAGAAGCATCAAATGACTTCACGTGTATCGTCTTACTTTAACATTAGAACCGCTAAAATCTTTTGATCAGCTGTTGAGTGAGTGAGTGAGTGAGTGAGTGAGTGAGAGAGAGAGAGAAACTTTTTATAAACCACTTTTATTAAACCATGAAGACCGAAATTTTAGCATAAGTGCGCAATGATGCACATGAATTATTAATAATTATTATACACATATACATAGAACGTTATTCTTTCGAGGGAAATTTTTAAAAAATAAATTATCTTTTTTACAATATAAGAAATAAATTATTTTAAATATTAATTCTCTAATCGTTTCTCTCTCTCTCTCTCTTTCTACGATGCTCTTTAGATTGTAAAAAATGCAAATATGTTGTATTCAATTAAAAATTAATTAAAAGTTCATTTTCTCAGCTTCTTCTCACGTAACAGAAACATATTATTATGATAAATAATCTCATTCATTTTTTTTAAATTATTTTAATCGTAAATAATTCTAAGCTTGACGAAGTTAATTGGAAGCAAATTCCAATTTTGTTAATTTTCGTACGATTTTATCCTTCGATCTTCTTATTCTCAATATAGAATTAATAGAATAAATACAATCGGTGTAATTAATCTTGTACGATTTCAGAGTACTATGCGGCATTTATTCGACGAGCGGCATCGCTCTAATATTTCTCTTTGTGATGCTATGTGCCTTAAGCGAGCGTGTGAGGTATCGAGCGAAATTCATCTTCTTCATAGTAGCGAGCGCGTTAGCCGCGGGATTATGGATACCGTTCATGCTACATCGAATCGGCAGCTGGAAAAACGCGCTGTAAGTTCCCGCATTTACGGATGGAAGGCAAATTTTCGTGTTTTATTAAAATATAAATGAAAACCTTGCAGAATGCCGGCCAGATGTGTGGTAACAATAGCGAAGATCATCGGGATGAATTTCCGTTTTCGCGGCAAGGAGAACATCGTGAAGGACTCTGGCTGCGTGGTGCTCATCAATCATCAGAGTTCGTTAGATCTTTGCGGTAACTATCAATTATTGCTATGAGTTCGTTAAATTAACCCTTTCGGATCGGCATGTTTTTGTTTGGTTATGCCTTGCTTGATCAATTTTCATGAAACTTGGCTCATGAGGTAGTTACTTTGTTAGAAAATTCCGGTCCACAGAAAAATGCTCTGAACAAACTTAGTGAAATAATACGCGAATAAAAAGGTAGACTTTATCAGGAAACGCCGCGTAGGCACAATAAAATTGGCCGTACAGTTTTAGGTGAATTGTGGTTAGCGATGGACAACTGCACTGTTATTTCGAAGAAGGAGATTTTGTACCTTGGACCATTCGGTCTCGCAAGCTGGCTTTGGGGAACGCTGTTTATCGACAGAAAAAAGAAAGGAGAATCATGCCAGATTATTAATGCTACAGCGGAATCGATTCGTCTAGCGAAGGTGACTTTACGTAATACTTTCTATATCATTGACAGTGTAGAGATTTAAAGTAACATTAAAAACTAACAACATTAAGAAGTATCTCTATTTTAAAATGTATATTAAGGCAGCGTTTGAAAATATTTTAACAGGAAAGATTTAAATTACCGTGAGTTTTAAATAAATCGATATACTTCGAACAGAATAGTAAGAAAATAAAAACAGAGTGATAATACTAATTTTATACAGAAGTTTAACACTTTCGATTGATCCTTCTAGCGGAGGCTTCTTCTATTTCCCGAGGGACATCGACATTCGGGTAATTCATTGCTTCCCTTCAAAAAAGGCGCTTTCCATGTCGCGATTGAATCTCAAATGCCGATTCAACCTGTTGTCGTGTCAAAGTACTACTTTCTGGATAGCAAATTAAAAAGATTCCATTCAGGTAAATAACGAGATTAGCTATATTTTAAGCTGCTAATTAAATAATAAAGGAATTGACCATGTATGTGTAAGCCTCTGTGGGCTTTTTTCTTGTATATAAATTATATTTTCATGTATGTGAAAAAAAGAGGTCTAAAGAGAGATGGTTTTACATTTCAGGAAGTAGTTACATTACTGTTCTACCGTCCATTCCTACCGCGGGCATGACCAAAGATGATCTTCCAAAGCTCATGGAGCAGGCATATGAAGTTATGAATAAAATGTTCGTGGAATCCACGACAGAGTGCCTCGAGGAGCAAATACAAAGTTTAAAGTGCGAATAATAGGAATACCGCGAAACGATTTAGCGTGACTAAATCATAATCTAAATTCTAATCAATCGGAGAGCTCGTGACTGACTGATTTGCGAATTGCAAATTCGCAGAAATTTCACGTGTGAATGATTTTTATTGCGTTATTAATTTCGCGTGAACGCATGTAATTCCTGCACGCTCTCTCGTGTACACGATGTACATATCAGTTTTGGAATTCAGTAATACATTCAGGTCTTTGTATATGTATATTTCGGTCGACCATTCGACGAAAACTATTTTCCCCGATTATGTTACAATCACGACGTAAGCTTAGAACATCACGTCGATCAGTGCTCTTCCATTATCTCTCAAATAAGTTTATCTTTACAGATCAGAAGGATTTTGCGAAGCTCAAACAATTTTTTAACGATGCAATTTGTACTTTTTATACCTTACAGAAAAATGTAAAATATTTATATAATCGATATTCTCTATTTTCATTACGCAAAAATGCAGTGCATACTTTAGAATGGTTACGTAAAATTGTTGTAAGTGTAAAATTGTGTAAAACTCATCTCATTACGTACTCCAGTAGATATACATTATTTATACTACATATAAATAATATATTATATTATTTATATTATAAATTATTTGTGTTAATATCAACTCCGGATAAGATTTTTTCCCGTAATAGAGTATAAAATGAGGTGTCTCCTTGTATAATTATTTTGTATCTTTTTTACATATTGTTAAAGTAATGATACGAATCACGCATATGCTTGTAAAGGAGAGACGCAGAATAGAAAATATGTCAGGCTTTCAAATATTTGATATTTAATTTAAAAACATGACGTTACTTCGTAATATGTAATGTTCTCAAAAAATTACTTGTTATTGTATTTACGTCCGAATTCTCGTACGCATAATTATACAGAGTATTTCGTCCAAAATATTAGTTTGTAGTAAAATTAAACTTACCAACAATACAAACGAGGCACTTATATACGTGTACAAACATTTCTATGTTTAAAACTTTTTGGTATTGTTGTAAAAGTTAATCTATATTTGTGCATATCCACTTAATCCTCTTTGAAAATAATCGTTCTATTGACGGGATGGAGAAAAATGATTTTTTATTGCGAAACATTAATTATTCAATGCATTTTCAGGAAAAAGTGTAATTAATGTATATATGTTTCTTTATACTCGTAAGAATATGTTAATGCGAGAGAATAATATTGAAGAACAACCCGAGTATAATGTTGCAAATGTATGATTTATACATGTCTATACATATATTCAGGAATGTTTGTTGTTACCGCCATAATAAATTATATTTTAAATATCATGACGCATTCGGCGATATTATTTTTATCATAAATATTAATTATTTAATTAAATTAAATAAATTTTTCAATTTAATTAAATCTACAAATTCCGAAGGTGCGATAAAATACGTATATTATATATACATATTAATATTACGATTGAATACCTATCAAGTGGTAATATCCTCGAGTTTTTCAAGACAATCATAAAGCTTGTTCGATACGTTGCTCATGTCAAAATCCAGCGCTTTAGATGAAGGATGGTAATCGATAGGACTTGATAAAGTCACGAAATTTTTGTGCCTTTTATCAAAGACGCGATTGCAACAACACGAACAAAGTGTTCCCATAGGCATTATCTTATTTTGCCATTCAACTAAATCATAAGTTTGGCTCAGAGGTTTATTCGAGTGAACGTTAATGTCTTCTTCAGTTTGGAGAGCAGAATAAATATTATATCTTTTCATTCGAGGCCAAATTACTTGCGATGATTGAAGCATCCATCTCGATGGCGCAAATATCACAGATATTTCTTTTCCTTGTAATCTTTCTTCTCTCCTCTTTGTCACCTGTCTCTTTTGCGGTTTTGCCATTTGTACAATCATCCAAAGCCGACGATCTGTTTTGTAGGCAATTCAAGCACGAAAGTTTATCAGTTTGCGTTTCAATATTCGTTTTCCGTCTTGGAATTATTATTTTAGGAACACAATTGTATCTCGCCTTGCCTGTCGTTTGACACGACTGAATGCCTTTTTGTTGAAAATTTAAAGTTGAAGTTCCTACGGATATTTGTCTATTAAATACTGGAGTTGTCAATGCAGAAATAACGTATTGAATTTGCTTATCGTCTTTTATTGGCCAATTACTGCTGATAAAGTCCTCGGATTTTTTATACCCTCGATTATTTTCTTCGGAATATATGCATCTTTTTTTAAACAAGACTTTCTGCAAATATCATTTTTACGAAATTATTATATCATAATTACACGTTTTTACATTTAATGGCTTTAATGGCTTTAATGGCAGATTCTCTTATAAATCGAATAAAATTATCAACATTAATTTACCTTCACTACTTCATTGATCTCTTTCTTTTTTTCACTTATATTTCTCCAGGAGGAAATTACATTGAAAGACGTTTCATTCTCAGCCCTAAAATCTTTAATTAAATCATCTTTTCTCGGACTCGTTCTGTTTACAAGATACGTTCTGGCTTTTCTTCGCTCAGTAAATTCGTCGACGTTCTCCGAGTCGCAGCAATCGTTACAGATATCAACTTCAAGTTCCACCGAAAGTGAGGAAGCTAAAGATTCGTCCATTCCAACTTCGACGGGCGAAGAATCCGTGAAACGTTCATCATTTCGTACCGTATCGACATTTATGAACTTCGGAAAATCTTTCTTTTCCCCGAAACTTAGGCACTCGAGTGACAATCCGATTTCGTCTACTTTTTTTTCCGGTGTGCTGCATCTGTATTTATTACACGGCAATTTGTACAGCGCGTAAGGACATTGTTCCCCACATGAACACTTTCTATATCTTTTTATTTTATTCTTTAAGAACGTTTGTCTCACACGATTTTTCGAAAATTCGTCTGCGAATCTATCTGAGTAAATCACAGATCGATCATTATTTATCAACGGGCTGGTTTGCTTATTATTGCCTATAATGTTTCGTCTTGCAAGACGATTACAATAACTGTATAATTTCTTCTTGTCATCTTCTTGACGTGAACATATAGCAATATCTGTTTGTACAGAATCATCAGATGTAAATGTAGTATCGGCCAAATTACCCAATTCTCCACTGATGTCAGTGTACTTATTTGTGTCTTCGTTCCTGTTTCTGAATTGTAAAAAATTTTGCTCTTTTTTTTGCAAGAAACATACTTCTTGTTGCTGTTCTTGACTGGACGTTATACACTTATTCTTTGTGCTCTTTGGGGATTGTGGAGTCTTTCGAACATTTTGTATATTTTTAATGATCTTGTTTTTAAAATATTTCAAGCCGCCGTATATCGCTAAAAATCTAGTTGGTTCTTGGTCCTTTTTTTTCAAGGTCTTTTACGAAAATTTGTAATATATATTTCTTTTAAGAAATTTAGTATGTAGTTTACTGTTCTTATTTCAACGTAAAACTATGCTACATTTCTTGTATAAATTATTATAAATATAGATATAAATAATTGTTATATAAAACGAAAACCGTCTGTAAATATTACGACTTATTGTATTAAATTCGCAAATCTTCTTCAATTTTTTCAAATACTACGTGAAGAAGTTGAACATTGTTACGGAAGTTGTTAAATTTATTAAAAAAATATTACGCAATAAAAAACGAGTATATATAACATATTTATATAAAATCCTGACATAAAAAATGTCATCATTATCATTAGTGTTAAAAATATTATTACCTAACAATAATATATAATGTGACCGAGTCACAAATTTAAAACAATAAAATGCGATGAGGCTCAATAACGTAGAAACTTGGCACAGAAATTGAGTACATTTGCTTGTATCATCAAAGTTGGAAGCCCTTCTCATCCATTATGGAAAATATTATGTTCCAGCTCTCAACGAAATGAATTATTGAAATGGTATATTGATGTAACAAGTTTCAAGAAATTGACATTTTTTGAAGAAAGACCGAAACGTACGAATGGATACATTGTACTAAAAATATGTAATATGGTTTAATATATTTCAAAGAAAAATTTTTACGCATTAAGTTCTACGTTATTGACTCTTAGCGCCTGTCTTATTCATCTTTGTCATGCATTACTGTGTATAATGTCTTATAAGAATACCTGGTTATTTTTTGTAAGCTCACACGTTTCGTTGATCCTTGCGGAAACTCCAATACTTTCAAAATATGCCCTCACTTTTCGTAATACGCTCGGACGAACATAATCAATTTTGTTATTCTCGTTTACAGACTCAAAACATACATTTTCATGATTTACGCTGCATGATACTTTTTTCAAATGATTTAGCTCCGTCCTAAGTTCGTCCACCACAGCTGAAAGAGCTTCCACTTGTTCAAGTATTTGACTGAGCTCTCTATCACGATGGCAGATCTTTCTTGACATGATTCGTATTATTAGAATTATGATATTCTAAAAAGAAAATATCCGGAATGTTATTGGCGTTATACAGCATGTTAATAATTTATAAAATCAAAGATCAAAATTGAAGTAAAAAAGTACTGTTTTGATAACATGGTTAAGGTACGATAGGTCATCTGTCATCTACATTTTAATTTGTTTTTTCTTATATATATGATTTTATGAGAACACTTGAAAATATTTTTCAGAAAAAATAAGCTTCAAAATCAAAGTTATAATTTTTCATTAAATGTAACAAGCAAAAAAATTTACGTTGGTGAGCAAAATCAAATTTTGTATTAGCTTTAACTTTTATATGCCAATCTTATACAAGAAACCATGTATCGCCATTTATATTACAAATTATAAAATTAATACATTAACAATAGCATATATATATATATATATATATATATATATATACTACAATAATATATAATAAAATAATTACAAAACATATATAATTCATACGAAATGTACGGATAAATAATATACATTATTACAATTTATTTATGGCAAAAACCGATTTCTCACATTGATAAAACCGCTTCGTATTAAATATTCATTTATTTGATTCATTTTATGTCATATAGGTACACATTCGTCGTCAGTCCGGTGTTCACGTATTATAGACTGACTATTAGCGTAGTAATGTTTGGTAATACAAAAAATCTCTTCCTAACACATTTACGCGTAATACTATATTTGTAAACTGTATATGTACAATTTTCGTTACTTCATTCATATCGCCGTTTTGACTTCATAGACACAAAATAATTGTGATGCGTTTTCCAAAACCGCCGTTGTCGTTCTCGCGCGGCTATTAACATTACGATGCAAAAATAACTATAAAAAGTTACTTAAAAATAATTGCGCATGCGCCAATAAAAAACAATTTCTGCACGATTGCTTGAAATAAATATCAATATGTATATATGTATATATATACTCATTTTTCATCTTTTGTGTCTTTTACATACCACTCAGTACGATGGCCCTATCGTTTACGCTTCGTTGTTCATCGCGGAATTCCTAGAGATCCTTAAAAATAGCGTAGATATTTATTGTACCCAACGAACGATCTCCTTAGCACGAAATGACAAGCAGATCTGTTTCATTGCGATAATAATGCATTGATCACAATAATTTATATTTCCGTGTAATTTTCTACAACCGCGAAATCTCTCTGGAATGCTGATAGCGTGTGTCCGATCGCAAACTTCCCGTTTCCCCTTCACGAGATGTGACTTAGTCTCTCTGTGTTCTAATTAGTTCTTCTATAATCGAGGTAATTGGGTTGCCCGTACTCGTCTCGTATATGTGAAAAAAAAATCGCTTCTACAATACTTCCGCCGCGGAACTCACGACAAGAAGGCTACGACAGATCTCGGATATCGCAAATGGGCAGGAGAGAGATAGAAGGGAGTATTTAAAGTAACCGGCAAATTTTTCAAATATTATCCATTTGCAACTTCGCGGTTACGGGCTGTTAACTGAAAATTAAGTTATACGGCAAAATATTGCGAATCCGACATTTCTCGAAAGACTGAACTCGCACTCTTGGAGTACCTAGCAGTCTCAACCAACTCGTTCATAATACTGATAGTCGCGATTTTAAATGGCCTTTTAAATCGTTGAACAGAGAATCGAGAAACGCGAATCTGGATCGTCCTTCCTGTCGTAAGGTCTCTATTGTCGTTTTTCGTTTCGCGAGATTATCCCTTTAGAAAAGAAACACACCTGGCGCATGTCGAGCGCAGTGTTAATACTTAGAGCTACACCGTAATTTTTAATTCTAGCTGTACATAAATAATAGATAGAAGACGAAGTATACGTCAGAGAAAGAAGCGGTTGAAGAGGTGACCGATGGAATCTGTCTGGCTGTCTTGACCATCGAGAAACGGGCAGGCGGTTTTTCTCTTGAGCGTCTGCTCTTCGTTTCTCGATCCCTCTTTCTCCTCCAGTATTCGCGTAACACAGCCTTGCTCCTCCTTCTCTCTGCACAAATGATTTTCTGTCTGCGGCACATGCTAATTGCCCCTCGTGACTCCTGTCTCTGTCGGCGAATGTCGACAATTCGAAATGTCGAGGCCGTTGAGATCAGAGTGATACATTAGGACGCTCGGTTTAAAGAGACCCTTTTGTTCCCATCGCGTAACTGAGGATCTCTTCCGTCAGCTTTGCCCTGCGGCACATCCATGGGTTCGCCATGGGGTCCGTCATCCGGGACGAGACCTCCTCGGACTCGCTGTCTCAGGACTGTTACAGGTGCATCTTGCGTTGCACGGGCTGCTGTCTCGGACTATCGTCGCTGCTGTGTCGGACTAGCTCAGTTTAGTCGGCCAGAGTATGGTCTGTCGGGAATTCGGGGGGGAATATTGGGTACGGGACGCCTACAACATAGATAGATATTGATTGTTGGATGTGTGCCCATGAAAATCGAAACGGAAACACGCCGTAGAGGGGAGGGGGGGTCGATCATTGAGCGAAAGAGACGCGAGATTTATACATAAACAGGCAAGCTTGAGAAATTCAATGTTCCAGTAAAATTTTCCTCTCCCTTCAGCTCTAAATATCTATATTAAACTTAAATATTTAAGCTAGATATTAGGATAAAGAGAGAGAAAAGAGAAAGAAAAGGAAAACATGATACATTCGGAAACGCCCATAATAGATACTATAATTATAAGAGAGAAATGAGATAAGAAAATATAATAATATAGGGCATTTAGAGTAACTAAATGATTAAAATTAGAGATATATAATTAATTGTATCAAAATTATATAAAATATTACAGAATATATTATTCTCCTTAATCTTAGGTAAAACAAAAATTTTATCGAAATAGCATCAAACTACTAAGGTTGTACAGAATCAATCATATTTAGTTTCAGAAAAAAATATTAAAAATGTACTATAAAGTATAAAAGCTACAATATAACAAATAGAGTAATATAAATTTATGAAACATTAATAGCGTGAAACAATAATAATTTAGATTAAAAAGAAAGACAAGAGATTCACACAGCAAGCTCAAGCTTCAGCGATAAAACACATGCAGAAATAAATATAGTGAGAAAGACATTTAATCGCATATTATTACTATCTTATATAACGAACTGATTGAAGTAGAGATATATAATACGTCTCGTATTTTTCCAATAGCGGCGCTAAATTTGAAAGAAGAAATAATATTAGAATATGATTCACTTTTACAGAATCAATTTTAACTCATTAATGGCCAATGACCTGTTTCTATTTTCATTATAAAGAAAATAACTTTAATATTAGATTATTTTTCTTTCTAAACTTTTCAGTATGTAATTTCCAAATATATTAAAATTTTTTAGAAAGACCGTACTAATCATAATTGGAGATTTCTAAAAACAATTACTATTACAATTTAGATCACAATATTATTTTTAAATAATACGCTCTATTAAAATATGGCCTTTAATGAATCAAATATTATCAATTTTGATCATTTTTCTGGCGCATACATATTTTTGGATCAGATTATTGTCAGATATCACATTATTGTCAATAATATTCTTTTGAAAAAAAAATACCAGAAAACACGGGATCGCAAACGAGAGGTTCAAGATCTACTGAAAAAAATATACAGAACGCGAATACGCATCCCCGTGCACGGGGAGAACACATTCACGAGTTCTGGCTTATCTTTGAATAATTTTAGCATCGTTACTCGCGATACGTGGGAAATATTAAACATATATTTCCCAATTAGGGGAGACAGATCATTTACTTCGCGATTCGCGATAAACCCGGACGGAAATGCGTCTTCGACTTGTTCGTGAGAGCAATGTCCTTTTCACGTAATCTTATTTTTTCACGTACATACGCATGTATATATACATATATATGTATGTGTACATACGCATATGTATACATATATACGTACAGATATATTCTATTAACATGTTACTCCCTATATACACATTTATATTGCAGTAAAACAGTGTATGTGTGTTCCTCTCGTGCGCGCGCGTGTGTGGCGCGATAGTACAACGCATCTTTCGGGATGTAGCGCAGAAAAACTTAAGCGGCTCTTACACGACCAATATTATCGTCTCTCCATATCGCGCAATAACATTGATTGTTTATATAACGATCTATATTGATATTAATAGATGTTAGCGCGATATATCGCGTCAATAATGTCGATCGTGCAGGAGCCGCTTTAGCCAAGTAACCCTCCAATATTATATTGGTAATAATTTTAACGATAATATTTCAAGAATTTTTATCCCAGAATATAATTATGATTTCTTGGTCGGATTTTAGCGGTTCGGAATAAAAATCGCTATAAAAATCAATATACAATATAAAAATTAACAAGGGCAATATATAATGGTTTGTGTTGATCGATGAGAACTATATATCTGCCGTTATCCAATATCTGGAGTTAGAAGTACATAGTGATTTTGCTGTATGGCATACAGTCGCTAGTTATCGCGGCTGCGAAAGCTTTTGCTTATCAAGGACTCTCTATTTTATAATTGGGGGTTACTTTGCCCACGTACAGTTAAAGGGTTTGGCACAATAGGAAGAAATAGGGGGAAGATTAGATATGCGTGTCTTTGGTGCAATTTCGAATTACTGTCTCTACGTAGTGGTGAAAACATTTAAAATATTTTCATTTGTAGCACGTGGATTTGTTAAATTATCTGCCTTATTGTCTCTCTTTCTCTTTCGCTTTCTTTCTCGCTCTTTTTCTCTCTCTTTCAAAGATAGATTTCGGGATCATCACTTTCTCTGGTGTGCCAAACCCTTCAAGATATCAAAACTACGCCGACAGCAAACCCACGATTCGCTCTTCGACTTGAAATATTATATACTCTCTTTTTCTCAAATATTCTCCGTAATACTATATAAGCGCGGCGATCCGAAGATTCTCAGCCCGCGGTGTACAATAGAATTATATGCTTAATCGATGTTAGCTTTACATGAGATAAGCATAGTAACTAGAGTGACATATAAGGCTTTAGATGGAAGCATATATATATGTATATATATATAATGCGTCGAGTAAAGTGCATATCGCGATCACTATGTATACATGTATATATGTAATATATACATATATATTGTTGCGTAAACATTCTCTTTCATTTTATGGACAATGTAGAAGTTGATATTCACCAGCTCGGCGCAATTTATCTACAATTAACATCGGGCCTTAATGCTTCCATAATTAAATCATCATAATATAAAATAAAGAGAATTGCCAGGCAAAATATACTATTTAATTAATCATATGTAGGTATGTTTAAGTATTCATAATAATTAGATAAATTTACTAAAAAAAATCGTCATATCATCCTTCGTTGTCGGGCTTGAGGTTGATAATATTCCACCAAATCGTCGCCAGATGCACTTAAGTATGCATTTAGTACGTGAATTTTCGTAATATTACGGTGTGAATTACTACAAGTGCAATCGTGAATACGTGGAACAAGCGATTTCGATTATTATCGCTTTCGATCATCTATATTCCACAAAACGAAGATAGAATGCTCACATATACTTATTCTACACTAATACACATAGATTTCATTAACTCCCCTGATCTGACCTAATTCTCCGATCCATCTCTTTTTACTGCTTTTGAAAATGAATTATAATTAGTGCACTATGAGAAGAGGTGGAATATTCATACGCAACTAAATCGAGAGAACCCTAAATACCTCATTTAACTTTCCATTTAAATGTTCAATTAACGATACTCAGTGCGGTGAGTGCACACAGCGCATGATATGCCCGATCGAAAAGCTATACCTTCGTAAAAAGGTCATCTATTTAATTTTATCTCATTGTCATGCCTTAACAACTCGCTAGTGCAAAAATGACCATTTTATGAATAAAAACGGAAAAAACTCTCGCGAGTCTATTTCGAGTGTGAAATACATTGCTAAACAAATCTACGGATACATTTCTTATAATATTGTATAATATAGCGCGGTGATTTTTATAATTTAATTTAATATTCGTAACCGCATTACACGGTTACTCTGTTTATATCGACGCATTTAACTCTGACATTGCTTCAAAGGATCAATATTACGCACATCTGTATACAAGTTATACTGTACAATAACATTACAATAGTGTACTTTGTGTGGTTGCACGCGAATCGAATCTCCTTCGTGGCGATATTTCTTATGCACTCTGCGCCAAATGCAACAGTACTTCCGGAACTTCACCATTTAAACCACGGTTATAGTATCCTTGTCTCGGTAATGATACGCAAAACCATATGTGTAGTTAGTCCGACGTGCTTCAGAAAGAGCGACAAATTTTTTAACGAGTTCAAGAACAAATTGACAAATAAAATAAAACAATCGAAACACAAAGTAAAAAATGCACATGGTTGAAGAATTATGCCACCATGAAATAAAATAAATTAGAAGTAAATGACTCTGTACGTTTGTACCAAGAAATATTATTAGGCCTTCGTGACATTGGCAATTTCAGTGGAGAATACAAATACTATGTTATACATCCGCGTAACAAGCGACGCTTGTAGGACTGCGACGCGGAGTTTATAGATACTTTTTCTTGTGTTAAACTTACGACGTTACAATGACAGACGGTGAGAATACGAGCGCAGTGACGCGGAAAATACGAGTCTTCCGCCGCTGGTGTTTTTTTTTCTAAATTCGTTATTTATTCAAGAAGACATTCAACGTCCTATTGTAACGAAAAATAATTTTTTTCTTTTAATTGCACTTCGATTACTCCGTCTTCGAGTCTCTCCCGCGTCACCGCGCAAACGTATATTTGTAAATGAGAGCACAAGTCGCCCCATGTATAGTACAATCCAGCACGACAAGCTTTACAACGAGTATTACGAATTTTATGTAATAAAATAAGCTTCTGCCATACTATATTCAATACGGTGTTCCTTCCAAATGTCATAAATATATTTCATGCAAGAACATGTACTATACAAGATTTTGAAGCACGTCGTTGCTCTGCAAATAGGCAAGAATACCTAATTACAAAAGAGTAATCTTATATACATATACAGTTGAACCGCAAGCATGATCAGGGAGCTCTCTTCGGGAGAAATAACTATAAATAATACAAAATACAACGTCGCTCCTCGATGCGCTTGCCAAATGTGATGTACATACACTCATTATACATTGTACGTGATATTATTTACCATTACTCTCAATAGGTGCGATTATATCGTTAATTTAGACTATTCAAAGAGAGATAGAGAGAAAAAAGGAGAGGGATGGGGGAGGGGAAGAAGAGAATAGATAGAGGAGAGAAGGGTTGGAATAGAAAGAGAAGGAGGCAGGAAGAGGGATTTCGTGATTCCGGATTTTCATGCAAAATCCTTGAAGCATTCTACGCTATATCACATCCTATGTCTGAGCATATTTTTTTTTCTTGTTTATATCTCGTAAATATTAATAAAGTATCTTTAATTTTCTTATGTAGTATATACGGCATATATATATAGATTTTTTTTAAATGGCTATAAGAGGAAAAAAAGTAACAAACATTATAGGAGGTAAAGAGAGAAATAGAGAAAAATTTTACGATATTCCGTGTAGAGTACAATGCTTTTTTTGTCATTATTAAAGAATCTTCATAACAAGCTGGTTATATATATTCGTGAGTTTTTTTAGCTACTTTCCCAACAGCATGACATTTTCTCATCTATCTCATTATCGTCGACGACGCGGTCGACATTTTCTTCAATACTGCAATTCGAATACATGTCTCGCGGATGCCTTTGACACGACAATACCATACAATATTTATATAGAAACTCGCTTCTCGATGATGGAATGTTCTTTATAATCAATGCAAAGCTACTGTCGATCACATTATCAGGTTCTGGTAGACTTTCCAGGATAGATTCACTGGATGCAAATATATCGTTTTAGAAGGAAATTCATAATATTTCGCTAACAAGACTACGTATGTGAGTTTTCACACTTTCACTCAGTGTGAAAATAACAATGAAATCGGATTAACACTGCGCTATTCTCTATGTTAGAATCTACTTTGTTCACTTTTTTTTACACATATATGTATATATATATATATATATATATATATATATATATATATATTTCAATTCATAACATTTTTCCTGACTGTCATACTTTGATTCCAGTTCTGAAGTTTAAAATATTAAAGTTTTATTGCTCGACTTTGGACTAGTAATTTTGGAAAATACCGTAATCAAATTTTCTAAGACATTGAAGATAATATGGAATATTGCACAAGATAGATATATCTTATATATATAAATATATATATATATATATATATATATATATATAATTCATATCTATATTTATTTTACTTATATATATATATAATACAGATATATATCTTTATAGAATTATTATTTCCTACACAAAAATGCAATGTATACAAATATGTTATGTACACATACGTGTGTACCGATTTAATTCCAAAAGCATAACCATTAATCAAATTAATGGAACACCATGCAAAAGAGGAAGAAAGACACAGAGGAGATGAGACAGGACCAAATTAGCTATTATATTCTGCGAAATTTTGTTATAGAGATCTATTCGAAAGGAAAACATGAATTAGTTCATTCTCAACCCTGAACAGTCTACCAATCTACTTTCTGCGTAACTTAAACGGATACCCATATACATATTACGTTGTCAAGGGTGTAACACTCGGAAAAATCTGGGGATATCTATTTACTTGATCTTGAACGCGTCCATCAGCTCGTTCACGGCGGCCTGCGTCGCAGCCTGTGTCGCAGCTTGCGTTATCCTCTGCTGTAGACCACCCCCTCGACTAAACACACCACGGATACCCAACTTTGACTACTGATTTCACTCTTGCAAATTTGTTTCAGGGACATGCATCATACGTTTAGCGTTTTTGCTACATGTTAACTTATGATGCGTGTCTCGTGTACGAAAGCGTGCACATTTAAATGCCTTTTTAAATGCGTACCCGAGATGTAAAGTAACATTAACGGTACACGTAGCTTTGTAACAGTAGTTATAAAAACGTTTTGTAATAACGATACGATATTCAAAGGCAGCTTTTAAGCTGTTAGACTAAATTCGCCCTAGCTTCCAGTTTACAAGTACATAACAATTATATATGCTATTTTGTTGCTTTTGATAAATCGTAATGCAGGCACCGACATATTTGTCCACAATTAGTAATTGACAAGTTTCGGATTATTAGACTTCATATAAAATATTTTTAGATGATAAGAGACGTACAAAGTAGAAGTGCTTATGCGTTTGTTGAAAAGCTTGGAAATTACATTAAAGGGCATATCGTAGTTTTTTTTTTTACACGAAATATGTACCGACGATAAATACGATTGATTGTAGATAATTAATATATTCCGAAGACTGTCATTTTTCATATTTAGTCGCATTTTACCGAAATGTCATGCTGTTAGTAAGTAAATAAATTATCTACTATATCTGCTATAAGAACATAAAGTCCTTTATTTGACAATATTTTCAACGGTATATACATATATGATATACAGCTTCAGCAAAATAATTTACAATTAAACATGTGTGACTCGACTATGCATATTATATATATATTATATATATATCTCCATTTTCTAAGAACAAGAAGATGTTGTACCTTTGGAAATATTTAGTATTGCAGATCTCACTACTAGTGGCATTAAAGTATAACTACAATTAGGGCTGTGTTAATCTTCGTGCCAGAAATAATATTTTATATTTATATATATAAAAAAAATATATATATAAATATATGTATATGTATACGAATTAGGCTAAAAAATGATTACACTGTTCACGCAATGTAAATATTAAATAAATAGAAATAATATCGTAGAGAGAGAGCAATGACACAATTATTCTTCCTCAAAATCTTAATTAATCACTTAAAATGTACGTCGTTGTCGTGTTACGTAGATGAAATTGCATTAGAGGAATTGCTCGACATTTGGAAGCTCAATTAGAAACACAAAAAAAAGTGCAGGACTTATACAATTAGAATAATTCTCGTGTTATTTTCACACTCCTACTTAATTAACATTGATCATGTAATCTCTCAAAGTGTATGCAGACAATAACGATAACATTATTAGAAGAGAGAGAAAAACAGTGTGTGTTTTTGTGTAAAATATACACTGTCTATAATGTAACGGGTACGGTATTGATTAGTAGCGAATAGGCGAGTTAGTGCGAAGACTTATTGTCGGCGCCTGCAATAGAAAGTGAAGTTAGCACCCAAAAGCCCAATCACAAAAGCTACTTGTTTAATATAGTCGGGCAAGATTCTCGGGGAAAGCTGCGAACTTTACGTTCACGACTGTATTCACCGCTTTCACGTCGTTATTACCATCGTTATACTTCGAACACACAATTAGCAAGGAACGTTATTGTGCGAACTTAAAAATTCGACGTGCGCAGAATTAGCTCGGCGTAAGAATTGCACGACCGATGGCACGCAACATAAAATCGCGATACACGATTCGAGACCTAAGATTTTCTCTGCGATAATAAATAGAATTTTTTTTGTAGAGTTTTAAGGTCTATATAAATTGTATATTGTACTCACGATGGTATCATGGGTGGAGGTAGGCCAGGGTTAGCTCGCGTTGGTGGTGGTCCACCCGGACCAGGTCTATTAGGAATGGCTGGCGCCGGCCGGCCGGTTGCAGGTACTGGTGGTGGTGCTCTTGAGCTAGAAATAGGTGGTGGCTGTGTCATCACTCCGCGTCTTGGACCACCAGGAGATGGTGGTGATAATCTAAAACGTATAGTACGTTTATAATCGGCTTATAATCAGCTTCTGCATTCGAGCGTGTCAAACACGTTCGTTCAGAAGTTGAACAAAAGGAAAGCAATATATACAAAGGTTATCGCACAAAATCTTTGACTGTATGACATAGTCCATGTAATTTTTTTCATATCATTATTCAAAGATACAAATAGTATTAAAAAAATAGAAATAATGAAATAGTATATATCGAGTATATAAAATATTGATTGATTAAAAATTGAGATATTAATAATTAAATTCTCTAACAGTATTCTAATCTAGCTTAATACTTTTAGTCTGTCTTTAGTTGTTGGAAATGCATGCATAATATGAACGTGATGTTCTGTATAACAAAATGATCGGACTTTTCTTCTTGACAATACAGTTTGTTAGGGAAAAAAAAATAAAGATAAATACAGCATATGTGTATCAAAAAATCTTACCCAAGACTGTTTCAACGGTGTTCAAATGTATGTGGCAAAGCAGACGGTACAAAATGTAAGGATGACAAATTAGTAAAATGCGCGATAGACTGTTTTAGGAATAACATAAGGGTTACCTTGGATTTTCGCCGGATGCCAGCCAGTCGTTCTTCACGGGTGGTGGCACTGGGGTTGAAACCGTGGCCATGGAGACGTCTCCAATGATACGAAGAGCCTCTTTGCATGCGTGATACATGCGTAACATTTCCTCTCGTTTCTGCGCCTCTTCGGGAGATTCTTCCATCATTGAAGCCTGTAATTGCACATAAATTACGCATCATAAATATTTCTCAGATAAAAGTAGAAATTAAAAATATGAATATATAAAGAATAGAATAGACCAAATGTGTACGCGTAAGAATGTGCGCTATAATCAAAACTTTAATATATTCAAAAGTTAAATTTTGTGTTAAAAAAATGACAAGCATGTTTCCCTTGAGCTAAATGCTTGAAGAAAGGAGAAGGATGGAAGGCAAGGAATGGTAAGGTAACACTTACGATTACAGGATCATTGAATATCGTCGGATTTATTTCATCGTTGATTGACTAGGAAATAGTGGAAAGGATTAATCTATAAAATTCCTAAGAAAGAACTAATTTGGCAATAAACTATCGTATAAACATAACACATACTGTATTAACATAATGTTTTACCTGATCGCCACTTGCGTAAAGATGTGCCAACAGTTCCCCATTAATGAAGTCCTTAGCGTTGTTGATGATAAGCATCATAATTGTCTTTGGAACCAGATCGCGAGTAGTTTTCGTGACAATCTTCATGTAAGAATCTACCAAGTTCCTGATAGTTTCCACCTGACGCTCCAACTGAGGATCCATCGATGACTGACCCTCTGATCCACCCTAAAAAAACAAGAACAATATCGTTAAATGTCTATATTTTCAACTAAAATGTTTTCAAACGGTTTAATGACTACGAAGGCATTTATCAGATAACATTCGCAGTACATACGCGACAAATTAATGTGATCAAGTCTAGGAATATAATCGAAATATATAGACTAGTATATTTTATAGTGTTAGAATTTTCTGCAGTAGTGTGTGCTTGACTGAAGAGGTGTCCGGTGCTTATGTAAGTGTCGTGCGCTTTGTAATTGAAAACACGATTGTACCAACCTCATATCCTTCCTTTTTAGTTGATTCAAATATAAGACAAAAAAGAGAACGGTTTCTATTATGCACTCAATACAAAATATTATATTATTAGTTTTATTTAAAAAACGGTTACAGATATAAAAACCCACGCATTTTATACAGATGTCTCAAGTATAATTAATATTCAGAAGGCAGTAAAAAGATATATTCATATCAAATACCCGCGTGTAAAATAATGTTATAAATAAATGTTGACATATGAAATTTTGCAAAATTTAATATTAATTCTGCACGCATATTATAATTCTATCCTAAATCGCGATCATAAAAATTAAGCCAAATAAAGCCTATTTTTCTAAAAAATTTATTTTGTTAGTTAACAACGTAATTCAGATCACCACACAGTTAAAAAGAATCAAAAACAAAATTTCTTTTTATTTTTCATTAACTCACCCTCTGCTTATCCTAAAATAAATTGAAATGAATTCTGATAAATATAATAAAGTCGTGATACAGACGAGAAAAAATGTCCTTTTTTCCATATTAAAATTTATATTAAAAAATTAAAATATTAAAAAAATTTCAATTTATTAGATGTAAAAATTTGTTGTATAAAACTGAATAAAACTTGGATAAATAAATTAATATAAACCATAAATTATCCTTTTTTTTTCAGGGTTGGGAAGTAACTCGTTACATTTTTCCATCTGTAACTGTAACTTACAATTAATTACATTTTTTGAGTAATTAATTTAATAGTTAATTTATATATTTCTAACTTATTTGTCAATAAAAATTATGATTGTATAACTTTTTTTACTTTTTAAATAAAATATAAAACATATAAACGTAAACTAGTATTTCTCTCTACTGATCTTAATGAATCTCAATGTTATCCTCAATATTATATTGTTCTATTATGATAATAAAAAAGTAATTGAAAAGTAATTAAAAAGACTCGTTTCTTCTTGAGTAACTGTACCATGTTACTTTTTAGAGTCAGTATCTTGTGACAGTGACTAATTATTTTTTTAAAATAAAAAACTGTAATTGTAACTAGTTTTAAAAAGTAACTTTCCCAATCCTGGTTTTTTTTTATAACAGCGTATACATAATTATCTTATCATGTTTTGATCAATGATGAACTCACCTCTTCGCCATTCGCTTGCTCTGTTGATTTCTCGGGATATACACCAGCCCTCAGGAATGATGCCTTCCAAGAGTCAACATCGTCTTGCGTTTCACAACTCAACTCCAGTTGTTTATAATCCTTATAAACGTTTCTTCCTTCTGGATTGAATAACGCAAATAGATGACGACGCGACATGAAACCTTGTTCTAGATCACGTAATTTCAGTCCGTCCAAAGGCAACATGTACTTCTTTTCACGTTCCTTTGAACATAAAAATATAGCGAATTAGATACTGTTCCTGGATATTAATTCTTTTTCAGTATAAAATGTTACAATTTCTACAACACCTAATCTAAACGATTAGATCAATAATTATGAGCAATATTTACTTCTTCATCCTTGAACCAGGAGATACTCTCTGATGTTAAAACAAACCAGTAATCTCTCGAACCGCCCTTCATAATACCGAGATTATGTATGCACATGTAACCTTTACGAATCACTTGATTGCCTAACGTATGCCGTCCAGACTTAACGGAATTCTCCGAGGATTGCTGTGCACTGTAACATAAATGATAGTGTATAATGAAAAATAAAAGACTTCATATATCCAACTGCAAGGATTGTTGCCATCAAAGTTTACATTAGTCAGTTATAAATAAAATAAAATAAAAAAAAACAGCAAGATCTTAGCATTCATGTTTTAAACAAATATACTATCCCGTAAAAAGAAATTAAATTAACACGTTTGCTTATTACATAATAGTTTACGTTACAAATTTTCAATTATACATATACTATCATACAAATTCGTGTATTTTTATTTTTCACAGAAATAATATATATATAGAATGAGGATGGACAGTACTTTGTGCCTTTATCCACAAATCAACGTATATTTATACATCTATTTTAAAAAAGTCGCTGAAAAAATCTTTACCTTAGAATTAACATAATATATGTATATCAGAATTATTATTGTGTATTTCCATATTGCTTCATGCATTTTATGCTTCGTATAACTTCAACATTTTCTAAGCGCACATTTGCTGCATAACCACATAAACAACACTAGTATCACAAAACGTATGTACAGTGTAGCTATCAGTTAGACAACACTGCAATAATTCCTGATGTTGTGGTGCAAAAGCGATTATGAAAAGTTGATTGCATAAGCGCATATTACATCCATTTAGAAAAACAGATTATAAGTGTGATGTTGCTGTATGAATTACAGTCTAAGTCCCATGAATAATGCAGATGACTTTAATAAATACTTTCAATGACAATTCTAATTTTCTGGCGTAACTTAGAAATAAGAAATCCTCATCTTACAATTAATTTAAAATTTAAAGCAAATTTTATTGCAAAGAAATAAATCGAAATATTAATAGCTTAATATAAAACAATTAAAATTATAAGATATTATAAGGGTAGCGTGTTGCCCGTGATTTTGATATTATGCAGAATTTTCAATGATATACTGAAGTTAATACCAAGATTAAATTACAGCATGATGATAGAATTTTCATGAATCTGATTTCGAAGAACAGATAAAAATCTAGAGTTTAAAGAGAACCAATTAAGAATTAATTTTCGATCGTATATTATAAATTATGTAAGTTTTTTTGTTTTAAATATTAATTGTGTCATTTAAAAATTAATAAATAAATTAAAATTCAATCTATTTATAAATCACAAAAATATGAGAAAACTATAAAAAAATATATATTCTATTTAAAAATTATTAAAATATTGGGGAATAAACACAATATCAAGCTAAAACTACTAAAGTTTGGCTCATATTATTAGTGTTTCAACTTATAATTGAAGCAATAAGATATCAAAAGAAGGATAAGCATCAGAAAGAAACAGCGTGAAAATGGAAAGGGATAAAAATGTAGTGTAAATTTTTGTTGAAATGTACTTTAATATTCTTACCTTGCATTATGGCTACTGGCTGCAGCGCTGCCGATATAATTAAATCATTTCTTTAATTGTGAAGTTTGAAGAAATTTATGAGAAAAAAAAGTTATCTCAGGATAAGGCCATATTACTTTAATTAGGGTAAGGCACACATAATCTCATAGATACGTTTAAGAAATTATAAAGTTCTTCGTATTTGTCTCATAATTTTATCGCATCTCGTAATTATATTTCTGATTAGAAATTATGTAAATTCTTATTATATATATATATATATATTAATATATATATATATACATATATATATTAAAAAACAAGAATTGCTAATATGTATACTATATGTATATATATACTTTTATACAAAATTTGTATGCCTTGTCCCCAATAACATTATAAATAAAATCAAGAAAATTTATGACATTTAATTTTCAGCAACATCATTGATTTATATAAGCCTATTATTCAGCTATATGCTTATATTTATCTAACTAATAATAGCTATACATTGTAAGTACCTAATATAATTTTTTATAACTATTTTTTTTAATGTTTAAAAACGTTATAATTTATTTAAAGCAAAGGTTAAAAAAATAAAGTAAATTATATAGAAATACTGCTATAGCCATAATAATAAAAATCAATTTGAGCTACAAAGAATGTAATATGTGCAAATGCAATTCCACATCCTTAGTAAGTATGAGAAGTTGTTTCTCCTAATGTAAATTATTGTTATAATCATTATAAAAATCATTATTTTCTGTAATTTCACAATCAAACAATTTTATTTAAACTTTAAATAGCTTTAATTTTATTAGGTGTTTAGAGATATCTCCGAAAATTTTATAATATACGATTGAATTTTTTGAAAAATTTTGTATAAACGAAATAAAAGATCAAGTCGCGTTAATAATATATACCAGAAATAAACATTACAAAGACAAATGTATGAAAGAGTTCAACATACTTTATATGATTTTAGCATAGTGTCATACAAGTATACATTGAGTAGAAATAATACTACGAAAAAGTTATTGTTTGTCAAATTCTAGAACGGCCTGTGGCCTTAAGGGAAGGACGAGCTGAGAATGTTAGCGTGATCGTAGATTGCTATGTGAGCTGATTTTAGCAAGACATGCACTGACCGTGAAAGTATATGCGCTGATAATTCGAGATAAAAAAATAATGGCAAGCAAACAAATAATCTGACATATCAATCACGTGTAGTATGACTCTCTATATCTTCTCCAAAAATGTTTACAATTTTAATTTTCTTACGTAGATTCTAGAAGACTAGCTCTTATTGATAAATTATCTTTATAATTATTTGTATTCTAAGAAGCATTGAGCGAGCTGTACGTGATTTACTGCCTTTGATTTAAAATTACTATTACGTGTCTCTTCAGATTATAAATAAATTTTCGCATAAAATTACTAAAAATAGTTTCTTGAAATAAGTCTTTTTTTTGCCAAACTTTATGGAAATAAATATTAATTCTAAAAAGTAAGTACTTTATATTAAATGAGAAATATACACTATAGTATATATGTATATAATATTAAAAACTTTGTTAACTTTTAGAATGCAATACACGTGAAAATATTGCTAATACCTTTTCAACTAAAAAGCAAATTTTTTGAAACATACATCTTTGTCTAAATACTATAACAACATTATGTAATGTCTCTTGCTATTTAGTGTGGCTATATCAAATTTGACATAAAATAAGAAAATATAGCTGCAAGCATAAATGTAACGAAAACGACATGTAGAAACTAGATGTGTCAACTTAAAGAAACTGAAAGTGTCTGGCTACTGTTCAGCTCTGTAAATAATAATTGAATCTAAGGTAACATATAACAAATAATGTGAAATGTTCAGCGATTACTTACTTCGCAAAACCGATGAAATCTTCATGATTTGTATTCATGTATGCGAGCTCGCAATCCACCAGCAAGATCAGCTGCTCTTTACACATTTGCTCGCGCTGTCTGATGTGTGTCGTTATGATACGCTCCGTTTCCTCTCTTAGTCTGGGATAACGCGACATCTGTAATTTATATAAAAATCGGCACATAAGAATTGCTTGTCTTATACATTATCATCTGACTACAAAATAATTCTTATGTCTCTTAATATCCTACAATTATCTTTGGCTTACCCTATCTGTACAAATGCGTACAACATTACTAAGTTCTTGCACGACTAAATCTACACACTTGAGACTTGGTTCTTTAAGTCTGTTTATTTGTTTTTTGACTATTGCCTCAAAAGCCATGTCCGGAGTAAACAATCCCACTCTGATACCTATCGTATTAAAATTTTGTTAGTAGTGCGGCTGAGCAGTAACTTGATATTGCAAAACTTCGCAATTTGATTCTGTAGAGATTTTGATCAACGATGAAACCAGGCGAAACTTACCATGTATATTTCTGATGGCGAAAGCAATTTCTTTCCTCAATTCTTTTTCATCAAACTCCATTTTAACGATTTCGAACGGGAAACGCTCGTGGAAAAGTCTGTTAATTTTCGCACCACCACTGAGTTCCATAGTATTAATTTGTGCTGAACCTGAGCCTTCTATAGTCCTCTCGAAATCCGACTGAAGCTGCTGTATCATCCTTAAAAAGATTTTTCTATTAATTTGTGTAATACAATTGTCATAAAATAATATTAGTTATATAGATAGAGAGTCTTGATGTTATCTACCATTCACAAAACACATTTGAAAATATCTGTTATTGCGTCACAATCTAATCAAATTTATAATCAAAATATCAAAATACTATCCATATAAAGATAAATATAGAAGTACTTTATATAGTATTTCATGTATTAAAAAACTTAAACATTAAAATTACTAAAAAAAAGTTTGTGTTAACATTTTGTTAGTTTTCTTGTAGCAGAATAGTTTTATGCCATCAGATGATTTCTCAATTCTCAAAAAAAGCATTTGCATAACAAAAAAACAACCGCAAATTCTCAATTAATTAAAATTTCATGCAAATGGCACGCTATTTCTGTTAATAAAACTAGAGGAAACAAAGGTACCTACATATACATTTGAATCGATCTGAAAAACGAAAAGCAAATGATCTAAAACTTCAAGACCCTCTACCCACAAAATAAAAAATATTGAAAATGAAAAGATAAAGAACTAAAAGGTTTCAATTGCATGAGATTATTGCTTTATATGAAAACGTGAAATACAGAAGACATCTCATTAAAAGAATTTTGTTATTGCATATATGTGTATGCACATGTACGTGATGTATTCTGCTATAAGATATGCATTTGTGACTTTCACAATACACATTTTACGAATGGAAGACAAGCACTGGGATATTGTAAAACCGGCACATTGTGAAATTCTAAAATCACTTACTGTAACATAGCCTTCGTTTTGATTGCAGGATCATCAGGTCTGAAATGTTTGTACTGCTCGACATCCTTCTCTAAAGTTAACAGCTGCTTTTGTAATCTATCTCTTAGAGCTGGCAAGGTATCCCTGATATGGTTTGTTAACTGTTGATTAAGAGTTCTCTGCAAATATGGCGTACCCAACCTGTCTGCTAGATGCCGATAAGACGGATGGCTAACAAATGAAGAAACAAAAGTTACATACGGCCAGAAGAAAAAAAGAATATATTTATGTCCCTATCCAAAGTTATTCGTATACCTGAGGAAGAACTTTCGCTCAGCGGCTAAAGCATTTTTGATATCCTTCCGTCCTTCTATATCCTTTTGACTTCTATTGACAACACCGATGTAGCCCCTTCTCAATGGCAATAGCTTATTTTCCAAAATATCTCTTGCATCGGTGCCATCGTCCATGAGATCCAGTTTAGTGATAACGCCAATCGTACGTACACCTTATAGTATTAAATTAATTGCATTAAATTAATGTAAAGTTAAAAAAATATTAATAACAGCATTGTAATTGATTCAGTTACCTTGTATATCCACTTCTTTAGCAAGTTTAAGAGCATCGCTATTAGCTAAATCGGTATTGGCCGGTGTGACCGCCAATATGAGACAATTTTCACGTTTGATAAACTGAAAGATCATGGCTTTTATTTGGGATTCTATATCCGCTGGCTGATCCCCGATTGGTACTTTTGTAAGTCCAGGCAAATCAATTAATGTCAAATTTAGAACTGCGCAAAGATAAATATATGTCAGTGAGTAACAATAATTATAATTTCTTTTAAAGCAGAGCATCCTTATTACACTCACCATTGGGTGAATATACTCTGAGATTAATTGGTATATTAGAAATGCCCTTGTTACTTCCGGTCACCCTGTCTGTTTCTGCTTCAATTTCTTTCCGCACCTCCTCAAAATCCACAAATTTCTTACCCTTGCAATGCAAGAACTCGGCAAATTCTATAACATAAGAAAAAAATTGCTTTAAATTTCTAAAAATGATACTCGTTATTTAACAAAAAATTATATAAAAAATTGAAAACATTTTAATGTCCATTATATTTACATTCTGCTTGAGATACGTCCAATTTACAGTTTATCATAATTTTAGGCTCAGGAAGTACGATATGGGAAATGCGATAACTTGCTGATAAAAGTTCAAGAGGCAAAATGATTTTATTAATCTTTTCTTGCAATATTCTATTTATTATTGCTACAGTGTGCACACTGTAGCAATAAATAAAACGCGAAATGTCAATAATTGTTTTTTCTAAATTTACTTAATATAACAAATGTCACATAATAAAAAGATTTTCAACAAGGGTCAAGCAGAGGCTGACATATAAATGGAGTAAATGCATTAGGCGTTAATGCGTTCCTTGCTTAAAAGGCAGATATTTGCTATGAGTACAGGTCAATAGGTTAACAAGCTGATATTACGAGTATATCTGAGAACTCTATGTTCTCTAAATTTGTTTCTTGCTACATGCTTTTATAAAAGTAACAAAGATTTCCATACTATTGTTGGATACGTAAGCAAATTTCATATTGATTATTGTATATCAAGTAAAATAGAAAAAATAATGTAATGCAGTCTATATATTGTGACTCACCAGTTGAACTGAAAATCAACTGTAAGATGAGAGGTCTCCTTGTCACAATGCCCGAACCTCTTGGCAAGAAATCTCTGAAAAAGAATTTATTCGCTGTTATAATAAATTTTTTTAAATTAAATCTCATATAAATTAATTTATTCAAATGTTAATTTATGTATGCAAAATCTCTTATTAGAAAATAACGATAAATTAGTTGTTGATTAAAATAATTGTATGTTAACGTATTTGAATGTGAACTGTGATACGCGCAACCTGAATGTCAATGATAAGATCGATCAGTTATTTAAGATATCTTTTCTCTGACAAAGATATGCATACTATCTAGCTTGAACGTTCTTTGTGACATGTTCTATCTCTCAGAAATTTTGTTTTTTTTTTATCTCAGATGTAAAATATCGTGAATTGTCAATTCATATCGAGTATTTTCAGAGCAAATGCTAATGCATCATGATAACGTAAGTACAACAAACACATGTCTTGTGCAACGTGGTATGACAGATCCAGCTGCGTCGTAAAAGATCTCAAGACTCAAAAAAAAGAAATAATCGATATTTCTTTATATATACCTATATATAGGTGTTTCATTCGTCGCGATACATTTTTTATTCAAATTACCGAACATCAACGAAGCGTCGCGGGACAAAGTTAAACATAAAAAATTATTCTCATACAATGTTCAAGAACCTAAATCATTATTTTCCTGACTATTTTTATCTCGATACATTTTTCATAATCGCGCAAGTTGCGCGTTTTGATAGACGTCAGAGAAACGACGTGAATGACGAGAGGCGTTCGCTACGTGGACGTGGAAAGCCCGCCGGTTTTGCGCATGAACGGGCGCATCCAGGTACTCCCCGCGACGATGTCACGAAGAAGACACTTGACAGGTCGCCCTGTGGGCGTTCTGACGTCCGTCGTTCGTGCGATCGCTCCGTCCTCCACGCCACGCACAAAGAATATTGCGTGCGGGACGGTCGACTGTCAAGACGGTCCTCCACCACATCCTCCTCCTCCTCCTCGACGGCATCGCGATCGAAATCGAAAATCCGCGCGTTTCCGCCACGCCTTAAGGACTTGCGTAGCGACGGCGAAGACGTCAGCGCGGAATCGAAATAAAATGGTCCCCTCTCGGTACGTATTTCGTAAATATAAATTGCGTTACGCTTTCTGGCGCCCGAGACGGAAAACTCGCGTGTACCCGGGGAATTTGGGGGGCGAGGAAGAGAAGGCGAGAGACAAGAAACGAGAGACCGCGTTGGCTGAAAGGTTTGTTTTTATTTTTTATTTTTAATGCAGCGGATCGCGTTAGAGCTTCCCCTCTCGCTTTCGCCGTGGTGTATCGAATTTATATCCGTTTCACTCCAAGGAGTGCGTATACGCTACTTCAGCTATAAAAAAAAACAGACCTTATGAGAATAGATTCGAGGAGGCGGGGGAGAGGAGGAGGCGTTCATCGATCGCGTTCGATCGAGTAGAGGTACGCCTTCAAGTGCCACAAGTACGAGTAACGATCGAGACAGGCACGAGAAACAGAGGGCCTGTATGCATGCTATATATCGTCCCTGTGCGCGAAAGATTCCCTTTACGTCCTTCATGGACGATGATTCCTTCCCTTTCTCTCTCGCTCCCTCTTTCTCTGTCGAGACAACGATGCCATTATTGCCATTTCTCTCTCGGGAGTTGGGTTAACCGAGGGCTGCGAGGAGAAGGAGGAGGAGGACCGAGATACCGAGAAGAGACGGACGCGATTATACAACGTCAGCCTGTGGTGTGCTGCCGCTTGCCTGGCCTGTGCGATACTCACTTGCCGACGAAGTTCTCGAGCACGGAGCTCTTGCCCGCGCTCTGACCGCCCACCACTGCGATCTGCGGCAGATCGAGCTGCATATGCACGCCGAGCTGGGTGAACGCATCCTGCAGCTTGTTCACGATCGGGATCAACTGTTCCATACCCGCGTTGCCCGCCATCCTGCCGCCGGAGTCGCGTAATCCGCGTTTACGCCGCTCGTATTAACACGTATATGTACACACGCACGCACGCACTCTTTCTCTCTCTCTCTTTCTCTCGCTCTAGAACCTCCCTCTTCTCTATTTTCGCACACAGCTGCGATTCCGCTGTGTGTTCGTGGCGCACCACCTTGGGGCAGCTCCGCTCTGTGCCACCGCCCGCACACACGCACGACGACCGCCCGGAGAGGGTGGCTGTCCGGAGGCGAGTCCGTGTACCGTCCGTCCGTTACGAGATGTAAGCGTGCACTAAGCAAGATGGCCGATTTCCGCGCAGGGCTGCTGCTGGCTGGGGCCGCTCGCGCGCGCTCTGCCCGCCCGCCTGCCTGACTGGCTGACGGCAGCTCTCCTTCGGCTCGTCCGCGGCAAACTTCACCGCATCTTTCCCGTCGCAATGGCGGCGACGGCGGCGGCGGCGGCGGCGGCGGTAGCGGCGGCGCGACTCTCTCGCATCGGTCGGCGGTCTCGCTCTCGTCGCAGGCGAGCGCGCGCGCGCACGCGCGGTAAGTACGTTGACGAGTGGCGATTTGAAATCTCGCCCGTGGTGGAAACCGAGCGGCGGCACTGTAACGTACGTATTACGGCCGTCGTACGATACGCCGCGCGTATAGAAATGCGAGATGCGGCTACGCGGGTAGCGACGACGACGACGACGGCGACGACGACGACGACGACGGATTCGCGGCGCCTGCCGCTCAGAGCGAGCCCGTAGAGCGGCTTTCGGTTCAATCGATAATCGAAGCGTGCGCACAAGTCATCGCCGCCGCCACCGCCGCCGTACGTCGCCGTCGTCGTGACCCACTTTCGCGGCGGTGAGATAAAATCCATATCGTACACGAGTGTTCGTCGGCGCTCTGACCTTTTTACTTCGCGCGTCCCACGTCCGTCGTCCGTTAACGCTCGTTCGTTCGTATACATATTATGTATATATGTATATGTATATATATACGTATGTGCGAATCGCGCGCGTGCGCGCGTGCGACGGAAATTCGGCTGAGCGACGTTCACTTCCGATACGCTCGCGAGTGACGAGTCGATACTCCCCGTCCGATCGATGCCCGCGATATCGGTTCACGTTACTCGCGAACAGATTGTTCTTTCCAGCTGCTCGTACACATGTACTTATGTATAGATTGTGCCCGTTTCCTTTAATTGGCAGATTTCTTTAATTTTCCTTTTCTCTGCTTCTCTCGTTTTTAAAGTACAATTATAGCGACACTCGTGTCGGGATCAGATTTAAATTTAACTCGCATTAATATACATATTATAGTTCCAATACGATAAATCGAATTTAATTAATATCCTGAGACTTTATTTCTACCAATACAGATTTACTTTGATATCAGTTTAACTTAACTTTTTTTAAGAAAAAGATAAAAAGATAAAATTAAGTCGAAATTTAAAAAGTTAAATTTACCTTGATAGAAATGGGTTTTAAATATATGTTTAGTAAATTTAATTAATTTTGTCTCGCAAAATTTTATTGTAAAATTTATTGATCGTAAAACACAATTCAACAAATATGGCACACACAAATTCAAAAAATATGGCAAGATATCTTCAATAATTTGTTGATACAAGGACGTAATTAATATACATATACCTTTTGTAAAGTGAAAATTATTACATTCACGTGCAATTTTAACAAGTAGAATTCGGTTTAGGTCAATTTCTTCATCCCGTTTTATCTTTCAACTCGTCAACCGAAGTGGCACTAATCGAAATCGATTTGCGTTACTGAATGAAAAATGGTCCACGTATACATTTTCGTTTTTGATGAGGCAGAATAAAGCTTCAATACGATGCAGCTGAATCGATCAACGATATATATTATAGGTATCGATACTTATATGCGGCGCGAACGAGCGAGCGAGATTTTCAAAGTCACGCGACACGAAATTCCCGCGTCATTATTTTAACACGAAAGTGAAAACTAGATTGTGTTTCCTTTTCCTGCAATGGTAACCGGAAAAGAGAGAGAAAGTGAGAGCGTTTTCGAAACGGTCGCATTGATTTCTTGGTTTAACTATACATATATCTCTCGGTCTCACATCATGCTCTCTTATATACATACACCCTTCTTCTAACAAGCCTGTTTGTCCAGCCGCACCTTCTATGTATACTTAGGACCCTTTGTTTCTTTTGAGGTACTTTATTGTACCTCTAGCGAAAATAAAAATCGGAGTAAGTCGAATGTAAGGGGAGATTATAGTGACAGAAGCGTAAAAGAAATTTCTAAGAAGAGCGTAAACTGGATGAACGTAAAAAAAACGTATTAAAGGGATAAACGCTTCTTTTCCATTACGCCGTTCCATCAATTTACGCTTCCTAGAAGTTTCGCTTTCCCAGACACTCGACTTACGTATTGTAGTACGCTCCGATTTTTTATCTTTGCTAGAGAGACAATAAGCTTTAGTTTGCTTAATCTTACTTAATATTGTTAAAGGTATGCGAGAGATACATGATGAAATACTGCAATTAAAGCGAGCTGCAGATCATTTTACTCGCATTCACAGGAATTGTTCCTGGCAGGAGACAGAAAACGCGATCTGAAAATCTGATCACGTTGGAAAATTTATAATGACACATTTTAAAATCTTAACTTGTTCAATTTTCAAATAAAATATAGGGATATGGATGATATTCATTTACAAAAATATGCATATATGTGCACGCGTGATGGTGTATATCGACTTATATTTGACACTATGTAGTCTTCTCTTAAATTCGGCCGATCGATTAGCGAATTTAAAAAGAGTGGTCCTGTTCAATAGAACGCGACATTGGCTATCGTTATTGATCATTGACCTGTAAAGGCATTTGGTGTGACGTCTACACTATATATACGTGAATATATATAACGGCCTTATATATACCTAATTTTAAGCAGTTAAACGTTTTAACGATGATTGGTAAATCTTATATTTCTCACTTTTTATTGAATGATATTCGTTTTACGGATCAATTTGTTCGGAGTGATTCAACTCTGTGATTGCCTCTAACTAGATTGTCTCTAACGAAAATTATCGATTTTAGTGTTGTATAGTCAGTGACGAAATATATAGATAATAGACGATTATATGTACTTTCTCTCATATTTCTCCTCAAAGCGGTACCTATAAAATATGCGAATAAAAAGTTTGTAATCTTAAATATATGTTATGAATGCTTAAAAACTTATTTTACTTTTTCCTCCTTTTATTTCTATCATTCGCTTTATTGAATTCTCTTTGTTTAATATAGAAAAACTTAAATATAGAATTGATGTAATGGAAATCGATTACATTTTGCAGAACGGAGTATCGAATTTCGCATTGAATCGTAGCGCACAAGATTGGTTGCACCGCTTTTACAATGTCCATTCAAGACCGTGGCCTAGAATCCTCTATTGACTTCATAATCATTATATGAATAGAATAACGCGGTATAGGTTTTACAGCGCAAAGTTGCCAGTAGCGAAAGAAAAATTTAAAAAAGTACAAATAAGCTAAAAAGAATAAAATTTGGAAGTAAAAAGAAAGCGAGAGAAAAGTATAAAAATAATTTTATATAATTTTGTATTTAAAATTATCTCAAATTAGACAATCTTAAGATTGTATCCAGCTAATGAAATATTATATCCCGAGATCATGCTTCAAATTTTAAAGCTCGGACCTAAAAGATGCGCTTGTTAATAATCTACGCTATTAATTTATTGGACAATTCAATACATAGGACCCTCTGATTGGTTTATCCGGTGAAAAAAATCCAAGCACCGTTTACTGTGATGACCGTAATCAATTAAATCAATTAAAGATTTAAGTACGTACACCACCACTTATGTAATTGTTTTTCTGAGGAGCAGAAGAAAATAAAAAAAATTTTGTTATCAACTTTTTTTCTTGCCTATGGTCCCGCCCTAAAAACTATAGCGAGGCAAAAAAAGAACAGACCTCAAGACGCGCCCCCACGTCCAAATTGAGCCGTCCCATGGGTGTCCGCCCGAATGTTCCAACTGTCGGGCGCTACCGTCTCCCTCCGCGCGAGATCCAGCATCGGCGTGGGCGCGCACGGTGGTGGTACGACGTAGCTGTATGGGGGCGCGATCAGTATTGGTATTTTCCTACGGTGCGAATCCAAGATGTCAGACATCGATAAATGGATAGAGATCGCGAAAGAGTGCAAATACTTGCCCGAGAATGACCTCAAGGTAAACAGCGCGACGCGCGCCGGTCGGGCCGTTCCCCGCGCGGTAACCTAATCGCGGGATCGGCGAGGGCCGCGATCAGGTTACTCGCCTAAACGCGCCCTACGCGTATCGCCTCTCCCGACTCTCTCTCTCTCTCACCGTTAACTCTGTGTTTTTTTTCTGCCGCTTCCGACAGAAACTCTGTGACATGGTATGTGACTTGTTGCTGGAGGAGTCCAACATCCAGCCAGTGTCCACCCCGGTGACGGTGTGCGGCGATATACACGGTCAGGTAAGTCCCGGATGTTGCGCCCTAACCTCAAAAACTTTGGAGCATTGTCATCCGTCGCTACGGGGATCGACGCAAAATTTCAGCGGATTTTTATTCCGAATCGGCGGCGCAACAGATTCATTCGTCATCCGTTTATCGTCATTTCTGTCCCGCATTTCTATCTTGCGCGATTTTGCTCTTAATCTAATCTAATCTAATATTTAAATAATTGTAACTATTACTTGTGCCAATAAGTTGTTTGTACAGTCATGATAGGAGGTACTTAAGGTAATCGTTAAGAAGATGATCTTCACCTCCGATATAATTGAAAGTAAATATATGTATATGTATATATATATAATTTTTATTTTTTCATTTTTTATAACTTTTATTATTTGTGCCAATAGTTATTTGTATAATCATGATATGAGGTCTGTTCTTTGTACCTGAATTAGTGGACATTTGTACTTAAATTGAAATAGAATATATGTATTTATATTTATTTATTTATTTTTGGCAAAAGTATTTGGCTCAATTTGGAGAAAAAAATTTTTAGAGCGCTGTTCAAATGCAACGATAGAAAACAAGCCTATGAATATATATATATATATATGTCAGATTACTTATGTTCTTGTGCTGTTGCAGTTCTATGACTTAGAGGAACTGTTTCGCAATGGTGGCCCTGTACCAGATACAAATTACATATTCCTGGGAGATTTTGTCGATCGGGGCTACTACAGCTTAGAAACGTTCACTCGTCTGCTCACACTTAAAGCTAAATGGTCTGACAGGATAACGTTACTACGTGGTAATCATGAATCTAGACAAATCACGCATGTTTATGGATTTTATGGTAAGCGTAACAGCAATATTTTCTTTTTTCGGTG